AGCTTCGTCACGGTACAGTCACTTACTCTCGACTTTTGTGCATGGACCCGATGACTAGGGGGTCAGTCGTCTGAAGAGTTGATTTCAGTGCGCGCAATGACAAAATCCGGGGTGTAATTCGCTACTGCATATTTTCTGCGAACGAATAGCATGGCCGGAAGATCCATATCGAAGTTCAACCTTGCGAATTTTCCAGGGATTCTAGGGCAGCATATAAGGAGGTTTCCGGTTAGACGTCGTGGTGAAAGGATGGGGGCAGGTTTGACATAAGAATTACCCAACACTGGGAGATCGGCATTATGTCTCTCGCGGAGAATCCATCGACGCAGCATTTTCTCTCCTCGACTCTCTTCGACGGTCGGCATCACGAGGAGGAGAAGAAGAAACAATAGGAAGAGGAAGAGAAAAAGGGAGAAGATACAAAACTTGAAACAATTCCAAAGGGTTAGCTGGTAGTATGTCCCTGGGAAAAGACTACCAAACAGCCCCTGACAACCTTTCTCATCGGTAGTCAATTGATGAGAGTACGATCACAACTAGGTGTGGAGCCAGTCACCCAGACAAGAAGAATGAGAGACCCTCATTTACCACCCCTATCACCTCGAGGCGCAAGAAACACTTTAGCCTTGCGTGACTTGAGAGAACTAGGAGTCTCAAGAAGTAATCAAGGTGATTGTGGCTTTTTCGCTTGCTGAATGTGACGAATCGCATAACAATACCGTAAGAGAAGCAAGCCATTGAGGTCCTTCCACTATGCTTAGACAGTGATGACAGCTCGTGTCCGTCTGGCGCGACTTGTTTTCACAGGGGCACACTTAGAAGAAACTCCTAGTTCCATTAGGCGACAGGCTAGCCACACCTCATCCAGAACTTGTCATGCATCTGAACAACAGAGCAATCGGGACCTGGACGCGGGCGCGCTAGAGTTGCTAGTATTGCTTTTCTTAGATTCACCAGACGCACAGAAGGCCCAAGTACCATGTGGATCCATCACATGGTAACATTAGAGCTGATTGTTTCCCGGCCGGAGGTCGGAGGATCAGAATGTCACTTGAAAATGTAGGAGATTTTCTGGACGGGCTTGCTCTCACGACTGGGGCTTCTGAACCGCAACGGCGACCTTGTTATACCCATCAGTCTTTCATAGCCCGCACACACATTTCGAACACAAAAGCCGAATCCACTGGCTACAGAATGTTTAGTTTCTGGTGGGGTAAATGCAAAAGCTGGTGAGGGCCACCGCGCTTAGAATTGCATGTCTCCTTTTCAGCTCCCGCTTGGTGATGGTTCGAGCGAGACCACCACAGCTATCCGACACATCACGCCGCAAGACCAAGGCGTCGTCAACATATTTTGCGACGCCATTGGCTTGATTGGAAAACTTAGTCCTGATGACTCAAGCTGAGGGTAAGGGATTCCAAAATAATATGCCCATCTCGATGTGATGGGGACTAGTAGGGTGAGGTAGATGGGACTGTCAGTCTCTCACGTCGGGGATTCTTTCGCACGGGAATTCTGGCTGACGCGTTCATTCTGATGCCAGCTGAATGGACTGGCGCACGCAGAACCCATGGCTGCCACATGGGCTGCTTGAACATGACACCGATTGGACGGACGTCTGTTGCCGCTCGGCTTGAGTCAACTTGCGCGGCCCCTCCGAAAAGAAGGCGGGATTGGGCGGAAGCTGAAGAGGACAGTGGGCGAAGCATTAATAACGCGGTAAGAACAAGCGATGGGCGACAGGTGAGGAACTGAAGTATGCCGAGGGTGGAGGCACGGGCAACGAGGCCCGGCCCGTATACAACAAACCATGGGGTAATTCCAGCCGACGAGCCCTAATCCCGCCACCCCAAGTTCCTGCATCCACTCCGTGCCTCAGCTTCCACCAGCTGGAAGATCACAGCTGAGCAAGAATGCTCAGACCAGAGCAACGATGGATGTGCTCAGCTGAAAAGAAAGAATATGACTCTGTTCATTCACATCAGCGAAACCGTAATCACTTCAAAATGTATAAAGGGCCCAACGAATCCAACCAGAAGCCAGTAGACTCAGCAGCGAACATTTCATATCTTCACCACACTATTACACCATCCTTCTGCAATTCACCAAGTCTTGTGCTTTTTTTGATCTTTCGACCACAATCTTTATCCCTTCCTTTCCTTACACGACACAAATCTCTTTGAAGTCGTTTTTTTCGAGCTCATTCTCATCGACGCTATGGCCCCCGCTATTTTGAATGAACCTGAGGTCCCCATTACTCCTCTTCCTATCACCAAGGGGCTTAGCGGGGCCACCAAGTCAGCCAAGGGCGTTGACAGCTTGACCACAGCCCTGACCAAACTCAATGGCAATGGCGCCGTCAAGGCGCCCGCCAACGGCCATTCCAACGGCAAGGCAGATGGTTTCAGCGACGATTTGGCCGTCGCCAAACCAATCTGCTTTTTCCCCACTGAGGAGGGAAGTTCAGATGTGCTGAGGGTATTGGACTACAACCCGGCAATGCTGAATGATGCGTCTGCCATTGAGTGGATCGCAGGCCAGCTTCATAAGGCCAACATTGTCAACAGCCACCAGCTTCACAAGCTGGAGGTTCATCATGTTGAGACAGAGCATGTGCAGGATGCCGAATATATGCAAGATATCCTCGGGCTCAAGCGAACGAAGCACACCTCCGATGAGAGTTACATTAAACTCCGGACCAGTATGACCAAGCACCTTCGGAAGGCCCAGGCCGACTCGGAGGGCCTCATGGTGACCATCGCCAAGCTGTCCGACGAGTTGAGTCTGGCGCAGCGGGCCGAGGCACTCGCCAAAGCCGACAGCAAGGCGGCGCACGCACTCCATCAGCAACTTAAGGCAGAAATCGAGACCGTGCGCCACGCGTTGACCCACGCCCGCGAGCAGCTGATCAAGCTGGTCAAGGAGCGGGATGATGCGGTGCTGGAGTCCGACAAAGCGGAGGGACTCCTCAATATCCGGGATGCAGCTGTTGCGCGGCTCGACGCCGAGGTGGAGCGGCTGGTGAGCCAGGTCGATTCCTTGCGAGTGAAACTCTCCGATGCTATCAAGGCCAGAAATACCGCAGCGCTCGACGAGCTCAAGACGCGTCAGCAACTGACGCGCGAGCAAGACACTTGTTCGACCTTAAGAAAGAGGGTCGCGGAACTGGAACACAAGCACGAGGCCAAGGCGGAATTCATCAGGGGTCTGGAAGCTACAATCCACGAGCTCAGGGCCCAGCTCACCCACGCCAGGACGAAGGTGAAGGAGGCATTGGAGGATAAGGAGGGCCTCAAAACCAGATCCCGCGAGCTGGAGGATCAAATGCGCGATGCTGTGGAGGCGGCAAGTGCCGCTAATGACACTTTGGACGTGGCCAAGAAGCAGCTCGAAGAGGCTATTTCTACTCGAGAGCACGCGGAGGAGCAACGCACTGCGGCTGAAATCGCCTGGACTCGCGCCGAGCTGGAGAAGCAGGATGCGGAAAGCAGACACCGAGCCATCCGAGAGCAGTTCATGAAGCTCGAGGCGGATTACGCGCAAGAGCAGCGCGAGAAGGCGACCCTGAAGGAGAAGCTTTCCAAGGCGGAACAACGCGCAGAGTTAGCTTGCCACTTCACGCAGGAGGCAATCGAATGGGGTCAAGCGCTCAATCTTACCAACCATGAACTGTTCGAGCAGTACAAGAAATCCTATAATGAGAAGGTCCAGGCAATTGAGCTGCGGTTTGCGGAAGGGCGTGAGAGAGCCGACTGGCAGGAACAAGCCAGACTAGCCCAGGCTAAGGTTCGGGAGCTGACCGAGGCCTTCTTCAGTGTCTCGAAGCAGAAGGATCGTGCTCAGAACGTCTTGGATGAATTCCAGAAACAATACAATCAGCTCAAGGAGGGACACCTCCACGAACAGCTGGGATCCCAAAACAAAATCGACCATCTCCAGAAGGAGCGAATGAGGTGGGAGAAGGTGAGATCGAAGCTGAACACCGAGATCGATATGGCCAAGATCCAAATTGAAAAGGCCGAGGCGGCGAAGATCCAGGCCGAGGGGGCGCGTCAGAAGGCAGAGGCGGAGTCGGTGGAGGAGGCGAGGCAGCATGCGAAAGAGTTGGAGGAAGCGAAGGGGCGAAATCAGAGAATGGCGAGTGGGTGGGAAGAAATCGACCGCGGCAATAAGGCCCGTATCGACGAGCTCTTGAAGAAGACTAAAGAGAAGGACGCGACGATCAAGGACCTCGAGAAGGATATTGCCGACATGCAGAAAGTCTTGAGCCACGGCCACAGCTTCGGGAAGATCGCGATTCACGACATCTTCCTGGGCGGCCAGCGAGTGCAAGACGAGTCGATCTACCAGACAATCGGAGAACACTATGGATCATTGGAGAAGCTTCCCCTGGTGCGATGCTTCCCGGATGAAAGGGACAAGAAGAAGAAGTTGGCGGTGGTGTACACTGTCAAGGGAGAAGAGATTGCTCGGACGGTGGAGGTTGGAGTGAATGAAGGATTGAAGTTCCCGGCCAGCAGCAGCACTACTACTGCTGCTCCTGCCACCAAGTCCACTCCTGCCACCAAGTCCACTCCTGCCACCCCTGCTACTGCCACCCCGACTGCTACTACCACCACTACTGCCACCAACAATGCCCCCGCTAAGGCCACACCCGCTGCTGCAGCCCCGACTACTCCTCCAACTGCTTGAATGTTGTTCCACCTCCACCTTCATGACTGTCACTCCTTACGATCACTCACTGGCAACCGCCTTTTTTCCTTATCTGGCTGATGCGTTTTTGTATTCCATCTCGCGCCTCCCTTAACTGCATACATTCTTTGCTTTTTTTTTTCCCCCATGATTATGTCTGTGTCCAATCTATGTGCATAATGGTTCCTACTCATTAATTATTTTTGTGTGTTGGATTTGTGGAGTTTTTAATGAAAATCTATCAAACCATCACATTTGCATATAAGTCAGCTGTAAAAGGCAGGGAAACTAATACAAAGGTAAAATAATCAAAGAGAATCATGTTCCCGTTTTTCATCAGCAGTCAGCTCACTGACCGCTTTGGGGATCCTGCCCCAGATCATCAGAATGATTAAGCTGGCACCCGCCACCCCGACCCCGAACCAGAAAGTGGCTTTATAGCTTTCTTCTAATCCCCCGTCCTTGACCACGGCGGACTGGATGATGTCGGTGAAACCGAGGACGAAGGCGACTCCAAGCTGCAGCACGGAATTCAACACGCCCCCGGCCAGTCCCTGCTGCGAAGACGGGACGGCGGTGGTAATGAACACTGTCATCAGGATCGTCGACAGGTCGATGCCAATCGTGCTGAGAATGGCGGAGGGGAAGATCCATGCCCAGTAGCTTCCTCCGCCCGCGGGGATGAGAGCGAGAAGGAGTTGCGATCCCACGGCGGCGAGCCCGGAGATGATCATCAGAACATGACCAGGGACGAGATGTAAGATGTACCCTTCAATGACGCTGACGACCAGCCCCACGACGCCAATCGGGATGTACCACACGACGACCTGAAGGGGCGACGCTGACAAGACATTTTGGAAGTACAGTGAGCCATTGACGGAGAAAATGCCCCAGGTCCCGTAGAGCAGGAGGAGGGCAATGAGTAAAGGGGTCATGGATTTCACGGCGAAGAGGGACGCAGGCAAGAGTGGATCCGAGACAACATGCTGTTCGACGTACCACGTCCCGGCCAGAAACAGTATGCCCAGGAGGAAGGTCGCCAGGACATACGGCGTTTTCCATCCCGAGGGCGCATGTGCGGATTGCGTGATCGCGAAAATCGTGAGAACGAGTCCGCACACGATGCCAACGCCACCGACATAGTCCATTTTCACTTGCCTGCGGGAGTCATTGGCCAGGGTCGAGTACGGCATCGCACAGATTGCTGTGGCGAGCGTGATCGCTGCCAGTGCAGCGCCGATCCAGAAGTAGTAACTCCAGCGTAAACATTGACCCACGACCCCGGCAATGGCAATACCACCAAAGAAGCCTAGAACGCCCGCGGTGCCATAGATGGCGAAGACGAGATTCTTGCGAGGCCCGGGCCGGTAGAGGGAGCCTATGATCATGACCCCATTCGGGAGAAAGGCAGCAGCTCCCAGGCCCTGAAGTGCTCGACATATGTTTAACATGACAGCGCCAGAACTGAAACCTGCGACCACGCTCCATATAAGAAGCCATGCAAGGCCCGCGAAAAAGAGCGGGTATCCTCCCCAGATATCACCCAGACGGCCGAAGATGAGCAACGTGCTCGAGATCACCAGCGAGAAGGCAGTCGCGGGCCATACCTGCGAAGCCTGGGGAATCTTCAGGTCTTGGGCGAGGGGTGGCAAGATGACCGTGAAGCCTGAGACGAAGAACTCGGTCAAGAACTGGGACATCACTATGCCAAAAAGGCAGAAGAGCTCTGTCCATGGATTGAGAAACGCAGATGGACGTTCACATCCAAGCCGCTCGATTCGAGCAGATGGTGATTCATCCCGTGGGATTTCCGGTACGTTTGACCGAGAGGTGTTTTGCGACGGCGTTCTCAGAGCTCCGCGTATATCCTCGACAGCCATGGTGTGAACTTTCAATGTCTCTGTAGGTTGAAGGTTGCAAGGTATTGCTCTCTTAGAAAAAGTCCTTCAGGGCCAGAAAGATCCGGGATGCGATTGAGATTTGAAGTATCCCGACAGCAAGTGACCGCCTCAACGATTGTGATGTTTACGGGCTTATAAATCACTAGCTCTGCGATGACATGCTTGAAATGAGTTGAAGAAAAATAGAATAGAGTTTTTTGTGTCAGGAATAGGTAAAAGCATGGTCTGTTTCCTTGATACAACTGTATATAGTACTACGTAGTTTGATCAAACCCTTACCAATGTTGAGCCAAACGATCGTTCTGATACGTCCCGCTCTCGGAAGACATCTCCACTAGAAACTTCCAAACAAGGCTGCCAAGATACTAGCTCCCGCGGCCACCTAAAGACTCAAAAAAAGGCAGGGGCAAAGGAGACTTGTGATTGGTTAATCAGTAGTTCGATGTTCCAACGGCGACAATTTGCTTTATAAGCCTACATAGCGTATAGTTGAATACGTAGCAGTGATATATAATCACGTATGAGCAAAGATAAGAATTCTGCCTTGGGAACTGACGCTACACATCACGCTTGTCTGCCCTTGAGCCTGTACGATGAGTGAAATCTGACGTCCACCAAGCGAGAATCTATACCGGCTGCTAGCGCAAAGATCCTGGCTCCAACAAAACGTCCAGTCCCAGCATCACGGTAAGGGCTTTTGCAATTTTGCCTTCTTGCAAGCTCTACTATCACTCTACTGACCTTGGAACTGAGCAGGAAATGCCACCAGTCATCCATTGTGTTCGCCATGGGGAAGGCTTTCATAACGTCGGTAGCGGTTGCTATACCATTCCTGACCCACGTTTGTCACCCACTGGGGAGAATCAATGCGAATCGCTCCGTGAAGGCGCCTTCCGTAATCAGGCGGGAATTTCCCTTATCTTGTCGTCACCGATGTGCCGAACCCTTCAAACTGCAGCTCTGGTATTCCAGCCAGCTCTGACGTCGGCCCTCCAATCCGAAAGGATTCTCGCCTTCCCTGACGCTCAAGAAACGTCAAGTGACCCGTGCGACATTGGCTCGGACCCAGAAATCCTCCGACGCATCGTGGAAAAAGAGAAATGGCCGGTGGACCTGTCTTTGGTGAATGATGGCTGGAACCAGAAGAAGGCTGGATCTCGCTATAGTCCGAGCAACGATGCGATCCGTGCTCGCGCCCGCGATGCTCGACTGTGTTTGCGGGCGAAATTACGGGAGCTGGTTTCCAATGGGGCTGACGATGCGGAGATTGTTCTCGTGTCACACGGTGGATTTCTGCATTACCTTACGGGCGACTGGGAGGATGCATATCGCCACCCGGGTACTGGATGGGACAATTGTGAGACGCGTGCTTATGTATTCGAAAGTGACTTCAGGTCCGATCACGATGAAGAGGCCTGGTTGATTGAAACAAGAGAGAGTCGGTTGAGGCGTGGTAAAGATCATCCGATGTATGGAAAGGAGGTTCAGGGCAAGCTTTTCACTATAGCGATGGAGCGTTGGCAGGGCCAAGGGCTGCAACGACCAGACGAAGTAAATCTGGACTCGAAGGTTAGATAGATTGAAAGACCTGTATAGTACTCAAGGCCCACAAGATGCAAAAGACATATGCCTGTGTGCAATCCCAGGTAGGAAGGCTCAATTGAGTGCCCGTTGTACGCAGGTCACGCACATGCATCCTTTTCTGGCGGCGTTGCAAATGTGAATATATGTGGCTCTTGGAGTTCTTTTGCCAAGGGCTAGATCCTCACTCACTGTTGCAGGAGATGGTAAAACGACATTTCCTTTTCTTTTCTTTCTCGGTCCTTTTTTTTTTTTTTTTTTTTCTTTTGACGAGAGACTGTGCGAGCAAGTTTCAGGAGAACGGGTCATAGAAAATGTTGACATCTGTTGATATGGATCTCAAGAGCAGAATGATTGGAGCATAAGATATTAAGAAGCAGGCCTGTGCGTCACTCGTTCCACCAGTCATCTGACTCTATATCGCGGCCTTGCTGATGATTGGTTTACACTCTCCTATAATCACCCTACATCTATAATTCAGCCTGATTGACCTCACATATATCATTCTGCTGATCAGCCAGCCTCCCATTTGCTATCGTGGTGATCAAACCCCTTCTGCGTGCTATGAGTATGCCATCCGCCTGTGGGCGATGATGTCATACTTTGTAGTTACTAGGTAGTTATCTATCTGGAAGTTTAATATAACCCCCTTGGCTTACCAATCTACAACCAAAAACTAGTCTACTTATACTGCAGCAGAGATCACGCAAGTCCCCCCAGCAGACTTCTCCATAGTGTCGCAACTCCGCACGATAGCCTTGTCTTGATTCCTCTGACCTCGCCATAACAGCACCATCCAGCAGCACAGTCCACCATGTCAACCTCCTCCACCTCCACTACCAACCGCTCCCCGGACCCCATCGTCGTCTCCGGAAGCTGCTACTGTCAACGAACCACCTACGCCACAACCGCCCCCTTACACGGGCTAACATACTGCTACTGCCGCATGTGCCGCCTCCTGCACGGCGCTCCCTTCGCAGCATTCACGAACGTGGAGTCGTCTCATTTCCACTGGACCAGGAGCGACCGTCTGGTCGAGATCAATCTGAGCCAGTATGCCACTCGCACGATCTGTGGTGACTGCCGCAGTCCCATGACGATGGTCTACCATGTGAAATCACACGAGGTGGGCATTGTGGCTGTTACGGTTGATGAGAAGAACTCTAAGGGCAAGGTGCCGGAGACGGTTGGGGAGCATATCTTTTTGGAATCTAAGCCTGTTTGGTTTGTTATCCCGGAGGATGGCGGGGAGCGGAGCATGGGGATTCTGGAAAGGATGAGGGGGGTGGTACCGGAAGGGTTATAGGCATTTTGGTCGATCTCAGAATCAGAAGAATTGCAGATCCTCGAGGCAGGTGATGTAGTAGGGATTCTTTTATTCTACGAATGCCTCGTATGACCCGGGTCACATCATGGATAGTACATGAGTATCTATGCAGACTTCAGACTCAATACCGAGTAGCCCATGTGACCGTAAGTTGTTTCCCCCGATGTGGAAACCCGGGACTTGCGTCTTGGCTTCCTTCTTAGGAATAGTGCGAGCTACCAATGATCGAATTGGTTATGTATGCCCAGTGCCAGGTGGGTAGTAGTAACTAACTTATGGGTAGGTGCAAAACTTAGCTGGAGAACCTGAACTCTCACTTTTCTTACGACTCGACCACCAAAGATTTCTGGATTTCAATGAGTATGAATGCCGCTGCTGTGGATTGTGCCGATGTTCCATGTTGGACTTGTCGTCGCCAGCGCCTCAAGTGCGACCGAGCCCTCCCGCACTGTGGCAAATGCACATCTTCGCAGCGACCCTGTCTGGGATACAGCAAAGGCAAGCCTCTGCGATGGACCGACAGTGTGGCAAGCCGCGGCAAATTGACGGGCAAGAAACTGCCACGTCGAGAGCAACACCTCTCACTCAGCAGAGTGCTGAATGACCCCGGCTTGCAGGATTTGTCGCCGTCAATGCGAGACTATATTGCTTATTGTAAGTTGAGTGCCTGAGCCCATTGAGTCCTGGACTGATTGAAGGTCAGTTGAGCAACAGTGTTGTCAGGAGTGGGTGCTATATGATTTCGAGGGCGCAAATCTGTTCAAGGAGTCCATCCGATTCATTCCCTCCTGTCCGGCATTGTGCCACGCGGTGGTGTCCGTGGCAGCTCTCCATCTAACCCTCCGAATTGCATCGGCTCAATGCAACGAAGGGACGATGGCATACAAGCCAAATCAGCATGAGGTACAAGTATCACAATCGGTGGATCAGGTGCGCCAGACGTACCAGATCCCAGCATATCACGATGCTCTCTACCACAAACAGCGAACTCTCAGCTTCTTGAGAAGCGAAGCATATGCGGGATACTCCTGTAATCCGGACGGTGTCGTTGCATCCATGATAATGTCCATATGGTTTGAGCTCATGGATTCGGGACGAGATACCTGGCGATACCATCTTCGTGGACTGAGACAAGTGATGCCAAAACGCACCTTATCCCTCGCGCCCTCTAGGGAGGGAGCACCGGCCGCCGACTTGCCTCAAATGGCCGAATACTTTGACACAAGCTACGCCGTGTAGGTAGAGTCCAGCCTAGTCTGGCCAAGCCGCGGTCACTAATTTCATGTTCCAGTTTGGAAATCATAGGGTCGACGTTTGTGAAAACCAAACAGCCTTGGCAGCCGCTTTTCTCGACGTCCCCTACTTTCGACATCTTGAAGCGCTGTGAGTCCCAGACATGGACCGGGTGCCCTTCACCTCTTCTCTACGTGATCTCCCTCGCGAATACGGCTGCTTCAAGATCTCACGAAACGCCACCGGATTTATTTGCCCACATTTTCTCCCATCTGCACAACTTCTCTCCGATGCATTGGGCAGTTGCGGATGCGGAAACCCACCACATGAAACCGAGATTCCAACTTGCCTGCGTGTGGCACGCGGCAGTCGAGATGTACGCGCTGCAAGTTCTTCCCGTCCCTTTCGAAAACGATGTGCTCAAGAGCGCAGGGAGAGCCAACAACTCACTGGATTCGGCCCTTCACCATCTCAAATCCGTGGATCCGGCGGATGTCCATCTCAAAGGACTCCTGTGGCCTGCCTTTGTCATTGGCGCCGAGGCGCAAACCATGTCTCAAAGGGCAGTCATCACTGATGTGCTAGAAAGTCTGTGGACACTGTGGCGCTGTCACAATGTGACGAATGCCCTGAAAGTGCTTGAGAAGATCTGGGCCCGTCAAGCTACGGAAGGGTCATCTCGACGTTGGATCGAATACGTCTATGAGTGGGGTGACGATTGGATGTTCATATAGCCAGTCATAACTATTACATTGCCCATACATCCGGACTTTCTATCCTAGGCAACCATCCCGACACAGGCACTCCACATGCTCTGAACGAATGTGTTCTGGCACCATCGACGAGAGCTTTTTAGATGGAAGGCCATCATCTTGAATGATACGAACAGCAAGAGGCTGATGTCGCAGTCGTCAAGACTGCCCAAGCGCTCGGAGTCAAAAATTGCATTTGTCGTACCGCAGATTATTTGTAGGGCATGCATACATCTTGGCCAAGGCTGGTTGGTAGCTGGCTGCTGATAAAGCGCAAAAGGCAAAGGTTCTAACCCATCTGCAACATCATGGATCGAGTCACGAGGTGCCTAATCTGCGGCCGTACTTAACCCGGGGCCGGCCACGGAAGGAGTTAAGAAGACCCGACCGCTCCGAGTCTTGAACTCGAAGTTTCCAAAGCTGTAGCAATCACGAAAATGGTTGGTTGGACAACTGCAACGACGACCCCCCATCCACCACCAAAGTATGGCCATTGATATAGCTAGCCGCCGGCGACGCCAGAAACACCACCGCATCCGCCACCTCCTCCGGGTCCGCCAGCCGTCGCATGGGCAGATCCCCCAGCATCGCCGCCTTGACGGCCGGCGCCTGGTCCAGAAACTGCTCCATCATCGGTCCGGACACGTACGAGGGCGCCACAGCATTGATTCGGATCCCGTTGCCCGCGTTCTCAAGGGCTGGGGTTCCAGATCAATCAGTGTCAGCACCAACACGAGAAAGAGATACATTTAAAAAAGAGGGAACCCTCACCAGCTGTCTGAATCAACCCTTTCACCGCGTGTTTGGCGGCAATGTAATTGCCGACACCCAAGAATGCCCCCTCCGAGGCCAGCGAGGTTAAGATCACGATGGAGCCCCGGGCTGGCTTTCTTCGCCTTCCGGCGGTAACCGACTCGATCGGTTTCTGGCTGGCCATGGCCCGGATCATCTCGCGGACGACCAGGAAGCACCCGATATTGTGCACCTCGTCCATGCTTCGATACGCTTCTAGGCTCATGTCGCCGATTGCGGTCTGGTTGGCAGCGGGGGTCTTTTGGTTTTTTTGGGTCGCGAGTGATATGTGGTTAGCTAGTAGTCAATCATGATTTCGCATATGGAACAGCAGATATGAGGAGTTCGGCTAACCCCGGCGGTCGTTGCGCAGATATCGATGCGGCCATACCGGTCCTTCGTCTTGGCGACCACCTCTTGCACTTGCGCCTCATCGCGCACGTCCACCTGGTAAGCGGTCGCCTCGTAGGCTGGTCGTCGCTCCGCGAAGACCTCGTAGCTGGACTCAGCGGTTTCTTGGGCGTGAGCGAGATCGATGTCGGCGCAGACGAGAGTGGTGAGGCCCTGCGCGACCAGCGTGTGGGCGACTGCGCGCCCAATGCCACTTCCTGTGCATTCGGGTTAGTTTCGATCCATAGTCATCTATAAGGAGGACGTATGTACCAGCACCAAAGACCAACGCGACACCTTCCACCTGCATATTTGGGGGCTATGGGCTATGTAGAGCAAATTAATTTTTTTGGTGGTGAGTATGGGGTTTAAGCAGATTGGTCAGTTGATTGACTCGCCGGCGGCTTTCATTATATTCAAGTACTCAAGACTCTTGCGAGGTACGTACTTTTGCAGTCCCAAATCATTCAATTCGTGAAGCTCTAGCGTGACTGTAACGGGGTCATGCATGGTAAGTTACTGTACGTACTTTTCACTTACTGTTAGCGCGTACGCCGTCCCGTTAGCGCTGAGCGTTAGTGCTTACGGTGTCTAAGAACTTATAAGGATCGACCGGAGACTTGCTGGAATCGAATAAGACTGGGATTGAGGGGTTAGCCGTGGCAGCGGAGCTTCCCATTGTTGGTCATTGCAAGATACGGCCAGATATCGATGCTGCGAGCGAGCCAATTGATCCTAGCCTCCAAGTCTCCAATTCATCGTTTTTGTTGCCCGCCATTGCACTATTTCAACTCCCTGCCATGGCCAGCAGCAGCAGCAGCAGCAGCAGCAGCAGCCGTCGCCACTCCTCATCACCTAGCAATCACATTCTCTCATCGCTTCAATCATGCCGTGGACTGCAGCCAAGGACTCGCCCAACACCTTCACACGACCCCTCGGTCCCAATGAGACTTTTATCAAGTTAGTCAGTGACCCTGGCCACCCCCTGGGTCGGGAACACTGGGCCGTCAACTACACCGTCGCCATCCAACCTCATGGGGATTCGGCGACTGCGGATCTTCTCCCGCCCCTGATCCGCTACAGTTGGTTGCATTTGCGCTTCCAGCACCCAAGTCTGGCTGCGCATCCCGACGCCTCCAACGCCAATCTCGTCTACACGGTGCCTGATTCGGCCGATGCGCTTAGCCAATGGGCCTCCGAGACCTTCTCCGTCGAGGCCGACGCCCAGTGCGCCGACGATGTAATACGTCGCATTGCCCCAGCCCCGGACGCTCGACTGTACTACATCCCCCAAACCGGCGAGCTGCTCCTGCACAGCGCACACTGGCGGATGGACGGAGTGGGCGGCCTCCTTCTTTTGGGTCAACTGGTGGACCTGATGGCCTCGCACTGCGAGGAGGAGGGGAAGCAGCAGCTGCGGCCCGAAGACGCGTTTGAGGCCTTCTCCTGGGGATCGGAGGTAGAGCGGCTTGCGCCCCCCGTGGAGGAAGCAGGCAACATGCCCCTCGCGGCGACCGAGGAGCAAAAGACCATTGCCCACGGAGCGGTGGGGACGTTTGCGCTGGCGGCCGGGGCGATGGGGGTGCCGTATCTGGGGGACGGCTCGACGGTACCCTCGGGTACACGGGCCGCCGAGCTGCGCTGCTCGCCCGCCATCACCGCCGCCGCCGTGGCCGCTGCCAAAGCCCGCGGGGTCAGCATCACCGCGGCGGTGCATGCCAGTCTCGCCGCCGTCAACTTCCGCCGCGCCATCGCCGACCACCGCCACCAGGGCCGCCACTACACCAGCACCATCAAACAGTCGCTGCGCCCGTACCTGCCCCCGCCTTACTCAACCCCGGCCATGGCCGCCGCGCTCTTCACCTCCGGCTGGCTGGCCCGCGTGGACCCTGCCTCCAACACCTGGGAGGAGATGGCCCGCAAGTACCAGGCCGAGTACCAGAAAGGGATCAGTAGCGACTATCTCCAGGGCCACCGCGAGTATGCCTCCACCTTGGTCGAGGTCATTCGCAACCTGCCCACGCCAGAGGAGCCCCCCAGCGATATCGATATCAGCAGCATGGGCATCATGGAACAATATCTGCAGCGCGAGTATGGCACCCCTGGGCGTGGGTTCAGTATCACCCATGCCGGAGTCGGAGTGGAAATGCTGTCGCGCCAGGGCGTGGTCTTTGTCTGGACGTTCCGGGATCAATTGACCCTTCGTCTGGTGTACAACGAGGCCTTCCACTCCCCTGAACAGATGACGGAGTTCTTGAAGGACGTGCAGGCGGACTTGTTGACGCAATTGCAAGTGGCGGAGTAGATGTTGAGAGCGCAAAACAGAGAATGCGACCGGTAGAAGAGTGTGACATGTGGGAAGAAGAAGGCATAAACCACCAACTTACTATCTCTCAGCCATAGTAGCCATAGTAGCCAGTAGCCGTCAGCATGCAACGATAGTATGAATTCAATGATAACAGCTTACTTTCTTGGAACTGAAGATATACTCTCTACCATGATTATTCATGACAACACGGCCATGCACCCCAAGTCAAGAGCTGCTGGAAAAGATTGCTACAAGATTGCTAAAAGACATGAGGATGCAGACATCTCCAGAATTCAGGAGGAGGGGAAGGTGAGATCGGGTCGGATCCGCAGCCCCTTCCCCAACACGACAATCCCTAAGGCCTCTCGAGCCAGGCTGCTCACCGCTCGCCACGCCCATGTTGATTGTTCTTCGGCCAGATATCCTCACGCAGCTGACCTCATCACTCATCCACGTCCCCCGACCAAAGCCGCACCTTACTAGAGCCGCCATAGTACTTGAAACGCTCCTTCACCTTTTGCCAAGGGTCTTCGAAATTTGGCTTAATTGAAGGGGTTTCCGATCGGTACGAACAGGAACTTGTGCTGTACTGTAGTTGCCAGCTGCCAAGCCATTTCGTCGCTGACCTGCTAGTCTGCTAGTATAGGTATTCATATCTAAATACGACCTGACGAGTATCACCGTTCGGCCAAAGAGAATGTCAAAACATCGAACCAGCCGATGGTTGGCTCCAAGGATTGCAGATTCTATCACACACCCAACAAAAAGGCAGAGGCAATCTCCGCAGTCAGACACTCTCCCGTGTTGCTTCGAAGGTAGTGTTCACATAAATGTGATGCCGGCTATCTTTCGGAGTTCTCTGTGGGCTACCGCTGTCCAGGAGGATGGCCTCTCGATCTACTCCCTCTGCTACTTCCCCGAGAGGATGGAATGATCGTTTGCCACTCAACAACTCCGCCGTATTACTTGGCTTGCTGGCGGATGATGATAATGAGAAGGCACTATTCCGGAGCGGCTGTGTTCTTCCGCTCCTTGCGAGCCAGCGACGCCCCAGGTCCGTGATATTCGGGAGGCAGACCGACAGGAGCGAAATCGGGCCTTCACACTGCACCCAACAGATATATTCGATGGTGGTCCAGGTGAGATCGGCTTCCAGGGCCGAACCCGCCTTGAGAAGAGTGATGAGCCGACCGACAGATACGACGACCACTCTGAGAGCACACACGCCCATTGTTAGACCAACTGAAAACTTTCTCCCTTCTTCTGACAAAGGGAAGGGAGCACTCACGAGTACCCACAAATGAAAAGGCCGATGAGCATGGCCTTCTTCGCCCGAGTCATATGCAACGACCAGAGCAGAGGCAGCGGGATCAGCAGGATGATCAGATCCAGGATGGCACTCGGGGCCGCGGTCCCCGTGAAGAACTTCCACTGCGTGAAGCATTTCGAACCGGCCACGGCTTCCCACGAGGCTCGTACGGGTGTACACTGAAAGGCCGTGGCCAGCCACGCCCCGATCAGCCAGAAGACGCACAGGGCACCCACCGCTGCGAGTGTCGGGCGGACCCAGGGGCCTCCGCCCCGTTGGAAGATCCGATGGTAGAAGCAGAGCACCGATAACTTGGGGAAGGTGATGCTGGCATCGTACAGGAAGGCGGCCGCGAAGATGATCTTGGGACCCGCGAGTTGATGGCTGACGGGTAATGTGGCGATATGACGACCCAATCCCAGGGAGATCCAGTAGAAGATTAGGGACGATTCAGCGATAATGAAGGGCTAGAACGATTCAAGGGGTCGGTCAGTCACTCAGCTGATATGTCCAATCTTTCTTTCGTGGAAAATGGGGAGGACGGTCCGCACCAAAGTCAGGATGGCAAAGGCATCATCATAGCCAAACCTGTGAGTGTGAGAGCTCCAGATGGACCAGCAGCGGAGGGCGACCGAGGCTACAGCTAATGTGAGCATTACCACACAAAAGGCAATGAGCCCCGGTTGCTGGTTGCCATCGGTGTCAGAAGACATCGTATGTTATCTACCGTATCTCTCTTTCTCTCTCTCTCGGATTGGAAGGATTGGAAGGGAGCTCATAAACCGAAGCCATTCGACGAAAGGAGGGGGAAGCCGATCAGAAATCAGCCTGACTGACCATGGCCATCCTGTTCCGAGACTACTACTTAATTAACCCACCCATGTAGGAACCCACCCATGTAGGGGGGGGCAGAGGGGCGAGGCTCTGGCGCTCTGCAGGATTAGTGCCGTGGCATGGCTGCATGATTTAATATATCTAACATTGGGGGCGGAAAGATTTCGTTACACAATATGTGGTAATTTATTTGTCCCCTGCCCCGAGTGCAAGAGAATGAGGGAAAGGTATCATCACATGTGGACTTTTGGCCATAGGTGTTCTTTCCAGCATCTGGAAACTTAATTGTATCTGATCATTTCTGATAAAACAACCGACTCAGAAAGGTTTATGGCAAAATGTATATGGGTATAGGGTTTACCCTGAAAGGTACAGTAATTCAAGCCCATCTGGGCATTAAGTAGATCTAGACTTTACAAGTCTAAATGAAACCCCTCACTCACACTACACTAGCTTGACAATAGATACACACAGTAACCTCGGCTCGAGCGAATCCCTGTCAGAGCAGCACTCAAGGACCCACTCACCTATCACGTTGGCTGTGCCGGCAAAACGCACGACCAGCACGGGCTAGATACTCATAGTCAACTTAGACTCAGACCACCACATCGGCATCCGAAAGTCTGCTCCGCCACCCGCGACGGGAGAGGCGGGACCCCGGCTAGGGCTAGAGTTCCCGTACTGTCACGGGTAATTACCTTACTTACCTAGTACGTTACAGTACAGTACAGTCCACTGGCACATAGACTAAGGTAACTTAATGAGTGACCAATCCGTGAGACAATTCTACTAGTGCCGCTGGCAAACCATCCGTGATCCTCACGCAACTTGGAATCATGGATCCACACTCGCCCTTCTTCTCTGTCCTCCGCCTCCCTCCTCGTGTTTGCTACGTTCCCACATTTCGGCCCCCTCATCTTGGCTATCGCCGCTGGCCTCATGCTAACGAGTCATGGCTGGAACGAAAAGTACGGTGGGTTCGGGACGGCACATCACATAGATACCCCTGGCCCCCGCGCGCTCTGATCAAAAGGATCGATTAGAAGGGGAGGAAGCTTTGCGCACGTCCCCTACACCTTTTACTTTTTTCTTTTTTTCACCTTCCCACAGAAAGGTGCATGTACTGTGTACTGTACCTAGCAGCCATCACGATCTACAATGGAGCACCCAGAATTGACTCCTGCGCGCCAATGTGAACCAGTCGCCATCGTGGGCATAGGTAGGAGGAAAAGCAGCTACCCCTTTCTCACTCCTGTATCGGTCTATGTTGACTCGTGCAATGTCTTGCACCTTCAGGATGCCGCTTACCAGGACAAGCGTCCTCGCCATCCAAATTATGGGAGCTGCTCGTGCGGAACGAGACGGGCCACGGCCCCGTCCCACGCGAGCGCTACAACGCCGCGGCGTATTACCACCCGGACGCCGAACGGCCCGGGAGCATCAACTCGACGGGGGGGTACTTCATCCAGGAAGATATCCGAGCGTTCGAGAACGCCTTCTTCGGCATCAACAACCTCGAAGCCACGTCCATGGACGCCCAGCAGCGGAAGCTCCTCGAGGTGACCTACGAGGCGTTCGAGAACGCCGGCATGCCCTTGGAGAGGGTCCAGGGCTCCAAGACCGGCGTCTACGTGGGCAACTTCACCAACGACTTCCTGAACATGCAGTACAAAGACCCCGAGTACTTCTCCCGGTACAGTGCCACCGGGTCGGGCCTGACCGTGCTGGCGAATCGCATTACCCACTGCTTCGACCTGCGCGGCCCGTCGCATGTGGTGGACACGGCGTGCTCGTCCTCCTTGTATGCCCTGCATTCGGCATGTCTGGCCCTGGAGGCCCGCGACTGTGACGCGGCCGTGGTGGCGGCCGCAAACCTTATCCAGTCGCCGGAGCAGCAGATGGTTGCCGTGAAAGCCGGCATCCTGTCGCCAGACTCCATGTGTCATACCTTTGACGAATCGGCCAACGGCTACGGTCGAGCTGAGGGGGTGTCGGCCGTCTATCTGAAGCGGCTCAGTGATGCCCTAAGAGATGGAGATCCCATTCGCTCCATTATTCGAGGAACCTCGGTCAATGGGTAAGTTTCCCAATTACACAGTCGCCAGCCCACAATGTTGATTCCTCCACGTTTCAGGAATGGTCGGACACCAGGCATTGTCCAGCCCAGCGTGGAAGGGCAAAAGGCCGTCATTCGGGCAGCGTATCGTCGGGCAGGTCTGGATCCAGGAGACACGGACTACGTCGAGGTAAGCTTAAACTCCCGCATGCTGGGGCGTGTTGACATGCTGATAACGGATAGGCGCATGGAACCGGCACCAAGGTCGGGGATCCTATTGAGGTCGAGGCCATATCCGGGGTCTTTCATCATCACACGGGACGGCCGACGCTCGTTGGGGGCATCAAGCCGAATCTGGGTCACAGCGAAGGAGCGAGCGGTATCTCGAGCCTGATCAAAGTCACTCTTGCGCTCGAGAATCAGTTGCTCCCTGCGACGGTCGGGGTGAAGGCTATCAACCCCAGCATTCGAACTAAGGAATGGAACGTCGATATTGTTACTGCCAACAAAGCATGGCCGGTATCCCGCGTCCCGCGAGCCTCGGTCAATTCTTTTGGTTTTGGAGGCTCAAACAGCCACGCGATTCTGGAAGCAGTACCGAGGGACCAACGGACCAGCGCCGCTGGGAATTCGCCGATAGAGGGGCATACAGAGGACAGGCTCTATCTCTTACCTCTTTCGGCTCGGTCTGAGACCTCTCTTCGACAGATGGCCAGTAACTTGGCTGATTTCGCTGCTGCTCAGTCGGGCCATCCTATTCAAATCAATGATCTGGCTTTCACACTAAGCTGCCGTCGCTCCAGGATGGCGGCTCGTGGCTTTCTCATCGAATCCCAAGCGAGTCTAAACAAAGGAGTCAATGTGGCGAACCTGAAATTGCGAGAGTCGGCCAGCGAAGGCGCACCATTGCCGTTGGTCTTCGTTTACACCGGGCAGGGCGCACAATGGACTGGAATGGGGAAGGGGCTTCTGAGCCAGAACAGCGTGTTTAGAAAGACTATCGGTTATCTTGATTCGTGCCTCCAAGCTCTTGATCCTTCAGATGCGCCCGCCTGGACGCTGGAGGACCTTTTGCGCGGTGACCAAATGTGCGATACGAGCGCCGCGGACATTTCACAGCCCCTGTGCACGGCGGTGCAAATTGCATTAACGAATCTTCTCAAAGACTGGGGTGCTCTACCAGAGATGGTAGTGGGTCACTCCTCCGGCGAAATCGGAGCGGCGTATGCGGCCGGGGCGATCGATGCCCGGCAAGCCATCCTTGCATCGTATTTCCGCGGAGCTGCTGTCGCCGACGATCCCACCGAGGGCTCCATGGCTGCCGTGGGACTTGGGAAAGATCAGGCCGCGGCGATCATCGAGGAATATGCGTTGAGAGACTCTGTAACTGTCGCATGTGCAAACTCGCCGGAGAGCATCACCGTAAGTGGGGATACAGTGGCCGTGGATTCTCTACTCAAGGTGTTCCAAGAGAGAGGCATCTGGGCTCGAAAATTGAAGACTGGAGGCAAAGCATATCATTCGCACCATATGAAAGCTCTGGGTCCGAGATATGAGGCCTCACTCCAGCGCTATTGGGATAAGGCCACTAATGGCCACAGTAACGGGCTCGTTACTGGAGACGTTGATGGTCCGGCAACATCAGTGGTCATGATGTCCACCGTGACTGGTCGGCCGGTAACCACAAGTCAAGTCGGGACGCCCACCTACTGGCGTACAAATCTCGAATCTCCGGTGCGATTCGATGAAGCCATCAAGACCATCTTGGCGAAGACGAGCTATCATCTGGTAGAACTGGGTCCGCACTCGGCGTTACAACTCCCCATCAAGCAGACTGCCTCCACCCTCGAACAATGTCGCTATTTTTATGATTCCGCTCTCATCCGTCACCAAGATGCGTCGTTGACCATCCTTCAAGTTGCCGGCTCACTATTCTTGCACGGGCACGATGAGCTTCGATACCGTAAGATGCTTGCCGATGGATCTCGGCCGCATGTCTTGGTTGATTTGCCTCCTTATCCTTGGGATTATAGTGCTCCCACACTGTGGTCTGAGCCTCGCGCTAGTATCGAGTTCCGCCACCGCAAATATCCACGGCACGATCTCCTCGGATCCCCACTGGTGGGAGGGAGCACCGCAGGGGTGACGTGGCGAAACATATTGAACCTGACGGAGATCGAATGGCTCACGCATCACTGTCTGGGCCCGTCAGTGGTCTTCCCTGCCGCGGCATATATTGCAATGGCCGTGGAGGCGATGTGCCAGGTTGCAGGTCTGCAGCTGGAAGATTGTCCGGGTGTAGAGCTTCGTGATCTGAACTTCATCAAGGCTCTCGATATGGACCCGGAGAGAAAGTCAACGGTGGAGATCTTCACCGAGATGCAGTCGATGAGCATTTCCAGCCTGACAAGCTCTGACAAATGGTGGAGATTCCGTGTGCTCTCGATTGACAGTGATTCCCAGTCGACCTTGCACATGAACGCGGCCGTTCGCCTAGCGGAAAAAGCCTCACCGCGGATTACTCGAAACATCAAGCTCGACAGGTCAAACATGCAACAAGATGCGGTCCGTGTCTGGTATGACAAGTTCACTCGAGAAGGGCTCAACTGGGGTCCCCAGTTCGCGGTCATGGAGGAGGTTTTCCGAGACCGTGCGCGCGCGGCTCACGTAGCAGCTGCCACCACACATCTCCAGCGTGGTGAACCCTTCGGTCAATACATCGCCCATCCAATCTCCATTGATGCGATGCTGCAGACGGCTTTTGTTGCAACCACTGCTGGCTGGGTGAGCAAGCTCCGAGCGACGGTTCCGGTTGCGATGGACTCGGTCTACATAGCAGCTCCGTCGGCCCTCGACATGGATACCGACAAACCGTGGTGCATTGACACCAAGTCAGAGAGTGTAGGGTTTGGAACGGTGAAAATCGATGCGGAGCTGTTCAACTCGTCTGGCCAGGTCTTGGTCAGAATGAGCCAAGCTCGTTGTATCGCCTACCAAGGGAACAAACACACGGAAACCCCTGAGCAACGCAATCCACTCGTGCGAGCGGCATGGAAGCCCGCGCTCTCGGCGCTAACTAGCCGGGGCCTTGACGAGTACCTGAACCGATTCGCACAGAGCTACAGGTCTAGGGAATTGCCTGATGAGAGCGTGCTGCGCCTGGCCGGTGCCTTGGATTTGGCCTGTCACCAGCGCTGTAACAGCAATATCCTCGAACTCGGCGACCAAAGCCAAATAGCAGAAGCTGTTCGTGGGCTTCTACGAGTTGACTCCTCTTTCAGGAGGTATAACACCTACTATCGTGGGGTCCTTGCAGACGGTGATCTGGTAGGTGGGGAGGTTTTTTCAGTGACTGCAGACGAGCAGAACTCAGAGTGCCCAGGGAGGATCCCCCAGGACAAGAAGTTTGATATAGTCCTTGTCCCCTCGGTATGTTTACTACTGCTTCGCGAGTTTGACTGGAGACTGATATGTGGTAGGTTGATTGCTGGACGCCGGCTCTTTCTAGCAGACTTACACCAGGAGCAACTGTCATCGCGGTAGGGGATGCACCGCCCAGTGACGCTATCACTTGGACGAATGTCATCAAAGAAGCAACTCCCTCCCTTGTCACAGTTGCGACTTTCGGCAGCCTTGCTAGGAAGGCAAAGGCGGATAAACCCCCGACAATCGTGGTAAGTGCCTATCTTATTCGACTACCTCCAAGCACGTCTGATTTCTGACAAAGGTACAGGTGACCCGAGATGACAAGATTACACCCCTAGATCTACAGCTTCAAAAGACCCTACAAGGACATTTCGGAACTGTCGTCGACATCATTGGCTTGTCCCAGGTCAGCCCCGCGACCGTTCCGGACCGTTCATTCGTCGTATCCACTCTAGAGCAGCAGCAGCCTCTGCTGACCACGATCAACGAGCATGAACTGGCACAGCTCCAGAGTATTACCGATCGCGTAGCGAAGATTGTATGGATTGTCAATGGCGGTTTCATTGGGGGAGAAAAGCCCGATTTTGCGCCCGTTTTGGGACTCTCCCGTGCGCTCATGCTCGAGCAGCCTTCACTCCAATTCGCGGTTCTCGACATGGGCGACGAGACATCATCGACCTCATCATCTGCTGCTGCTTCTGCTGACACTCTGCGGAATGTTGTTCATGTGCTGGACCGACTGATCCACGACCCGGAACCGGACTTCGAATTCGCGCAACGGGACGGCGTCCTCCATATCTCTCGCTGGGAGCCAGACGAGCGCCTCAACGAGACCTTCCGTCTCAAACAGAACAGGGACACCGTTGACCTCTCTCTATCAACCGCTCGAGGCTGCAAATTGGGTATCAAGGACCCGGGGCAAATGGACACGATCCACTTTGTGCAGGAGGAGCATCATCCAACGGCCTTGCATCCGGACTATGTGGAAATCAGCGTGAAAAGCGTCGGTATGAACGCTAAGGTAGGCACCGCGCTGGTTAAGGCAATATCAAAAGAGGGGTCGGTAACGAGAAACATAGGATCTGTATGCTATCAGCGCCAAGGTCGACACCAAAGATGCATCGTGTTCGTGCGAATGTGCCGGTGTTGTTACCGCGGTAGGCGGCAATGTTTCCGAGTTCAAGACCGGGGATCGTGTCGTTGCAATGGCCCCCGGCCATTTTGCAACCGTCGAGCGCTTCCCACATTGGGCCGTGTCGAAATTGCGCGAGGAGGAGGATTTCACGGTACGTGGAGTGTTTCGTGTCTCTTGATTACGCACGCAGAAGGCTCACGCATCATGTGCAGACGACCTCCACGATTCCGATTGTTTTCTCAACGGTCATTTATGGATTGAAGTACCGGGCGCATTTGCAGCCGGGAGAGGTAAGTGCTGTCGGCTTTGCTTATCTCGCATGATCTGGGGCTTACTCGGTGCAAGACTGTTCTCATTCATTCCGCTGCCGGAGGAGTTGGACTTGCGGCTATCCAATATGCGAAACACCTCGGAGCAAAGGTAAGGTCGCTAGAGAGGAAGTGGTCCTTTATTTGGGTCATTCATACTGAGTCACTCGATAGATTTTCGCCACTGTCGGGAATGAGTCCAAGAAGTCATTCCTGGTTGAGAAGTACGGTCTGGATCCCGCGCATATTTTCAGCTCGCGCAATTCCTCCTTCCTGCCTGCCATTATGGAAGCGACGTCTGGTCAGGGAGTTGACGTGGTCTTGAACTCGCTCACCGGGGATCTCCTGCGCAGCAGCTTCGAAGCCTGTGCCGACTTTGGCCGCTTCGTCGAAATCGGGAAACGTGACATCCTCGACCATGGGGTCCTGGACATGTCCACATTCGGCTGCAACGTCTCCTTCATGGCCTTCGACCTGTCCAACCTCTATCTCTCCACCAAGTCCGCCCATCATCAACTCTGGAAAGCCCTCCTGACGGAGAGTCTGGATCTGGTGCGTTCCAAGATCTGCGAACCTTGTTTGCCGATCAAGACCTTTGATGCGTCGGATATCACCGACGCGTTCAGGCACTTCTCGCTGGGCACGCGACTGGGCAAGGTGACCGTGTCGTTCCAGGACCCGAACACCGAGATCAAGGTGATTCCGTCCAAGTATGAAACAGCCTTCAGTGCCCACAAGTGCTACCTCATGATCGGGTGCCTGGGCGGGCTCGGTCGCAGTCTGTCCAAGTGGATGATATCGTGCGGGGCGCGCCGCTTCATCTTCATGGGTCGATCCGGTACCGACAAGCCCGAGGCGCAGAACATGGTCGACGATCTCCGGGCCCAAGGAGCCCACGTCACCGTGATCCGGGGCGATGTGTGCCGGTACGAGGATGTCGAACGCGCCGTCGCAGCCGCGGCAGACTGTCCCATCGGGGGCGTCATCCAGGCCGCCATGGCGCTCAGCGAGGCTCTCTGGAGTGAAATGTCGCACCGTGCATGGCACACGACCCTGGGGCCCAAAGTGCAGGGCACATGGAATCTTCACCATGCGTTGTCGCGAAGCCACCCCCAGCTGGACTTTTTCGTCATGACCTCCTCCATCTCCGGCACCGTGGGCACGGCGACCGAAAGCAACTACTGCGCGGCCAATGCCTTCCTAGACGCGTTCGCGCGTTACCGCAACCACCTCGGACTACCGGCCATCTCGATCGGCTACGGCATGATCTCGGAAGTCGGGTACCTGCACGAACACCCAGACATTGAGGCCCTGATGAAGCGCAAGGGCATCCACCCCATCAACGAAGACGAGCTCCTCCAGATCATGAACCTGGCGCTCGTGAATCAAGGGCCCCCAACGTGGGACTCCCGCTACGACCATCTGGCAGGCAGCCACCTCCTCACTGGAGTCGAGTTCATCGGTCTGCACGAGCAGCGCGACCGAGGCTTCGAGGGCGACAACCACGTCTTCGCCGATCCACGAGCGGCACTATTCACGGCATCCTTCGCCCGTCGCCGCGCCGCGGGCGAGTCACAGCACAGCACCGTTGCGGCGCAGCATCTCCCCGCGGACATCGCGCGCGCAATGCTGCTCCGCGACCAGCAGGATCCCAAGTCGATGCTCCCTGCCCTGCGCGCGGTGGTGTCGAAGAAGATCTCCAACCTCATCCTCCTCCCGGAGACGGAATTGGATCCAGATCGCCCCCTGGGCGACTTTGGGTTGGACTCGATGCTGGCGGCCGAGTTTCGGACGTTTGTGTTCCGGACCTTCGAGGTCGACGTCCCCTTCGTTGTTCTGTTGCAGAGGAATACGACGGTTAACCTGCTGGCTGAGTTGATTGCTCAGGGTTTGCTGCAGGCGGGTGCTTAGGTGCTGGGCTTGGTTGTGGTAGTCGTTTGGTAGAGGATAGGGATGACGTTGTGCATCATAATCATAGCAATAGTAATGGAAATTGTGTACAGTACTTTCTTGCATGAAGGATATGAGATACACGTGGCGCCCAACGCAAACAACAACCGTGGACAAATCGAGACCGATCCAGGCGTGGGACAAGACCGAGACCCTGCGAGGCTCGATTGCTCATCTCATCTCATCGATGACTCACTGGTGTTATGATGGTAGGTAGCCTCGCGCACTAAGCGAACATCTGCCTCTCATCTGCCTCTCAGCCTTCCCTCAGCGGTAGAGTAGCCAGGCTACTCACCGCCCACTTACTCCCTAGTATACCCACCTTGCTTAGTCCTTTCGGTCTTCCTCTCAGATAGCCTCACCTAGCTGCATTCATCACACCTTCATCACTGAACACCTCAGTAAGTAGTGCTTCTTCTGTCTTCTATTGGGCGCTTGGGTCACTGAAGTCCGTCTACCTAGTACCTAGGAGACGCCACTGTCCCTCCAATCTAGGCTTCCAAGGTCTGCCTCCTGCTGGTGCCTACCAAGATGGCTACCTATATTATGGAAACGGGAGCCTGGAGAGGCTGATTACTCAGTTAAACCGCGCAGATTCCCGGCTCATACCGCAGCTAGCGCCAGTCAGCTGTCAGTCATACAATCCAGGGTCTCATGAGGGTCATATAAACCGCCAACCCCACCATCTCAATCTCACCTCACTTCTCCATTCCCGTTATCCGACATACGCCCTCGCCCGCTTCGCTCACACGACCCAAAATGGCTCCTCTTCCCTCTGGTATGAGTATCCGTGGATTCCCCTGAACATGAAACTTGCAAACCCCGCTGAAGCATTTCTATTTCTTCCTTAGGTGATATGGATAAGCTCGAACCCACCGAAGAAGCAGCGAAACCTGGCTCCATCTGCGAGGCCCACGTGCTGTACCAAACCGCCCCGGACGAGAGGGGCCGCACCTCCTGGACCCGCGAGCCGCCCAAGGACCTCCTCGATCCCGCGGAAACGCCCCTGTCCGGCAGATTTGTGCTGCTGGTCCGGAAGGTCAAATGCTACGACGGGAAGCGGAACCTCAAGATCCACTCCGTTATCGTCCAAAGCCAGCCCCTCAAGGGGTTTCTGGCCCGCCTTCTGACGGGCTACCCCGGGATTACGTCCAGCCTCGACCGCCTTGAGTTCCATCAGCCGTTCCAGCCGTTCGTCCACCGATGGGAGGAGTTCTGCCAGGCACGGGCCCGCGAAGACGATCCCACCACCCAAGCCCACGTGGAGCTTCTGTTCCGGATCCTCGAGGAGGAGCTGCGCGAGACCATTGCGCGCAAGAACGACCTCGTCAAGAACCAGGTGATCACCCACGATCTGCTGTGGGCGATCTTCGAGCCCGGCGCTCCGATCATCAGGGTGGTCGACGGGCGCCAGCGCGCGTTCCGGTTCCAATCCGGCAGCTACGATAAGCGAAGCGGCGTGTTCGAGATCGCAGCCCAGTACGTCGACTGGGATGGCGAGGGCTTCGGGTACGAGACGGAAGAATTCACGCTCAGCCCCTACGAAGGTACCACCCCGATTGTGGACCTCTCGAGCTTCCCCCTTGCCTACCACCGCGAGCACGCCCGCATCCGCGAAGAGCTCATTGCCCGGGGTAAGCTCTGGGAAGGGTACCGCGGATATCACTACCAGCAATACAAAGGTCTGGCGAAGGGCTACATCCCCGTCCTCAACCGCCAGATGAAGTTCAACATCCAAGGGCGGATCGTGATCGACACGGAAGCGTACAACAACTTCAACGCACAAGAAGAGATCACCGGGTTAGACCGCATCGCCGCCGGCGGCGGCAGCAGCACCACCACCACCAGCCTGTCCGATGACCAACGACTGATCGCCACGCCCATCGTCCGGGGCTATGCCCTCCAAGAGAAACGGTGGCTGGCGTTCTTCGTCGACGGGGTCAAGGACATCGTCTGGGACGCGCACGCCTTCGACTCCCTGGTCCTGCCCCACGAGCAGCGCGACCTGAAGAAACTCGTGCTGGGCTTTGCGCGCGCCCAGGCCCGCAGCCGCGACGCCTTCGACGACGTGATCCACGGCAAGGGGCGCGGGGTGATCATGCTCCTGAGCGGGCCGCCGGGCGTCGGCAAGACCCTCACGGCCGAGAGCGTCGCCGAGGTGATGCAGGTGCCGCTGTATGTCCTGAGCGCGGGCGATCTGGGCACCACGCCCGAGCGCGTGGAGAACACCCTCCGCGACGTCCTCACCATGATCCCCCGATGGGGCGCGATCATTCTCCTCGACGAGGCCGACGTCTTCATGGAGGCGCGCGATACCCTCGATCTGAAACGGAACGAGCTCGTCTCGATATTCCTAAGACTTCTCGAGTACTACGAGGTGTGTCCGGCTACCCCGCGAGAAATTCAGCCAAACAAGATACACAAAAACTAACAGGCTCACAATCTAGGGCATCTTATTCCTGACCACCAACCGCGCCGAGCACATCGACCCGGCCTTCGAATCGCGGATCCACATGTCCATCCGCTACCCCGAGCTCACCTTCGCATCGCGACACCAGATCTGGCGTCAATTCCTCACCCAACAACGCCATACAGAACCATTCTCGGAGGATGAGCTGGACCGGCTCGCGGCGCTGGAGCTCAATGGCCGGCAGATCAAGAACGTCCTCCGCACGGCGCACCTGCTGGCCGAGGAGGAGGGCTGTGCACTGACACACGCGCATGTGCAGGGGATCTTGAGCTTGAGGGACTATCTGAAGCAAGGGGGGATGAGCAGTGGAGGTGGATAATGCCTGCCTGCGAGTTAGTTGCCTTTGCGTACAAGTCTTGATGCGAGACCATGGTCAGGGTGGATCTCACCCCAAGAGCCCTTTCGCGTCTAATGCTGTAATGCACCATGTCATCTCGGTTTGTCTTATCTACCTAATGCTCATGGATTCAAGCAATCAGATTTTGAAGAAGACTACTTTCTGTTCGACACTGTCTGTAGGAGGTTAGCGCTATTGTCGCAGGCTGGTCTACATGCGTCGCGTCCAGGCCGCGGGAAATGTTGGCCCGGCAGTGGGAGAGTCAAAATTTGATCTTTCGATGTATTAAGATTGTGGCGCTCACTGAGGCATTGTTAAGTACCATCAAAGAACCCCCTCATGCTGTTCTCACTCAGTCAACCGCTTGATTGGCCTGCTCGGTGAAAAACGCAAAATATTTCATTTCAATACTGTCGCGTGGAGGATCATCGACATGCTTGGGATCAACAAAGGCCGAGTGGAGCAAGGTCACGCTGGAGGCGACATCACTACTCAACTGCATGAAGATGAACGGTTCATCTGGCTGCCTAATTGCTCAAATAATACCATTCATGTTTCTCGTTGAAGACCGATACCCCGAATTCGAACACCTGCTCGGCAATGACCCTCCGGTCTGGAAAAATGTCCGACGCTGGGTCCACAGACCTCCAATCACAGACTGCAAGAGGATCTTTTCGGGCTGGCTTGATTGGCCTCCAGACATTGACCACCACAAAGCGACAGCCCATGAGCCGCGCCATTTCGTCGGCTGGTAGGATCTCCTTCAGAACCGGCCGGCAAGACGCGTGCGTGATATCCGAGTGAACACCATGCGAAGGAGAATTGGGGGGGTGCTCATTTTGTTTCCAGTCTGATCGCCCTCGAACCTCAGGCGAGTAAGGTAGACAATGACTTCCGATGCACCGGTCCTGTTCAACGGAGTCAGTCCGCGAATGGGGATTCGTTGCCCGCCGCATCTTTTTTTCCACCACGGTGATCGTAGCACAACCTACATTCCCTGGACGAGGTCTTCCGTGGCGGGCTGAACGGATCTCCTTGATCTGCCGTTGGTCTTTCCAAATCGGTCACTCTCGCATCCAGCTGATGCTTGACAAATTGAAAGCCTTGGACATCCAGGGTGAACTCATCTTCTTGCCCGCGAATGTCCCTGATTACAAGCGCTCTCAAACATCTTGAGGCCCTCGCGCTGAGCATTTCGCCGTTCCGCCTCGGGGATGTCGGCATCGATTGGTTTTAGTCCTTCGCGTCCAGGAGGCATCGTATAGTTGAGAGTTGTCGAAACGTCACCGCCCTCTCGCGCCGGGGGGGGGGGGGGGGGGGGATCGATCTGTGATTCCGGGGAAATGGCCATGCTGATGAAACATGAACGAGGGAGTGGCAAAGAAACGAAATGGCGGATTTGCTCGCGATAAAAAGCCTCTCTTAGGGAATGATCATCGAAGAAAATTTCGTTTCCAAGTTGGATCTCCTATGTAAGATTTGCGTGAATGAATTTCCTCCTCATGTTGGCTGTCCACCCGGGCTCGGTTCGGACTCGGGTTCGTATTCGCAAAATAGAACAGGTTCAAGGATCCACCTCTCTTGATGTGACCCACCAAAACAATTTCGAACCCCCAAATTTGAGATCCGCTCGCTCGATTTGACCCCATTCGTTACGGCAGCTAGACTGGTATGAGCTGTGAAAGCGGGTCTGGGACTCTCATTGAGGTTGATCAAATATCTTTCTTTTCTCGGTCGAGCTGAGCTCGGGGCTGGGCCCACATCAATCCTCCCTGTATAAAAAGCAGACGAAACGTCCAACTACCGACGCACTCGAGTTTCCATCCAAACCACGCATTCATTATTGCAAGAAGCCCACTCCTTCGTGACTTCCAAGCCCCACATTGATTCTCTCCGGCCAACCCGCCTCCCAAGCCCGCTTTTCCTCGCCATCCGCAGAGAGCCATCAGCATGTCCGCCAAAAGCATTGCGATCCTCGGGTGCGGGGGCATGGGTCTGGCAATCGCCCGACGCCTCGGGGTTGGTCGCCGTCTCTGTGTTGCCGACTACTCCGACGAGATTCTCTCCGAAGCCCGGGAAGCCCTGGCAAACGACGGCTACCTGGTGGAAACATACCAGGTGGATGTGTGCGACTATGATTCGGTCCGCCGCTTTGCGCAGGCGGCCGCTTCTCAGGGACCCGTCGAAGCCATCATCCACACCGCGGGCGTGTCCCCGTCGGGCCGCTGTGCCCGGAAGATCCTTGCCACGAATCTTGTGGGCACCGCCAATGCTCTCGATGCCTTTCTGGAGGTCGCGCAGACCGGAACAAGCATGGTCTGCATCGCCAGCATGGCCGGGCACATGGGATCGGGATTGCCGTCGGAGCTCGAGCATCATCTCGCGACCACGCCCCGGGGTCAATTGCTGGATCACGCCGCGCTGGACATCGACGCCGCCGATCCGCACGGGCCGGCCCGGGCCTATGGGCTGTCCAAACGGGGGAATTTGCTGCGCGTGCAGGCGTCCTCGAGAGCATGGGGTCGCCGTGGAGGGAGGGTGAATTCGGTCAGCCCCGGGGTCATATCGACCGGCGCGGGGCGGCAGGAGATCAGCGGCCCCGCGGGGAAGTTCATCGCCCTCAGTCCGGCGGCTCGGGTCGGAACGCCGCAGGACATTGTGAACGCGGTCGCATTCTTGGTCAGTCCCGAGTCCTCGTTTATCACCGGCAGTGACATCCTCGTGGATGGCGGGGTCGTCTCATCGTTGCGATGGGACACCCCCCTGAGAGCCTGAACGTGAGCTGCTGATATTGATGGTGAATCTCGCGAGTGACGATTGACGGTTGGAGGAGAGGTTCTGCCGAGGGACCTGGGGATTTCAAGGTTGCGCTCCGTCGTGTCAGACAGGGTCCACGCATGAGCTGCTCCAGACACCCGAACGATCATTTCTGTTCCGCATTTGGAGCACCAGGATAGTGAACCAGATGAGCCATACAAATCTCCTGTTACATCCCGGAAAGTAACCAATCACTTTTTCTCTCTCTTGCTGGGAATGCTAGTTAGTGTTCTTTGACCAGGGTAAAGGCGGCCATCTGCCCCATCCATTGCGGTGACAGCGAAAAGGGGTAAACGGGGAGGGAGGCAAAGACACGAACGCGAAGACATGGTCTTCCGGACTCCACTCTGTAACGGTGTTGATCCACCCAGTTGGCGGGGCGCACATGCTCCGCTCCGTTCGGGGCAATTCTGCCGATGTATGATGTGACTGACAGCTCATCTTTGCATCGCAACACCAGATCTAACATTATTTCCTCGCCTGATAGCGCTATATGAAATTATTTTAGAAGAATAAGCTGGACCGGCTCGCAGTACTAAAACTTAATAGCTTATAGATTAAAAATATTCTTCATACGGTGTATCTGCTAGCTAAAAGAAAAAACTGAATATTAATATATTTATATATGAAAAAAGTCTTGAGTTTAAATAATTATCTAAAGCAGAAAGACATAAATAACAAAAATAAATAATATCTGTTTATAAATTGGTTATTGTTATATAAAAGTCTTGATATAAAATTATAATCTAAGTTAAGCTTATATAAATAATCTTTTTACTTCTAATATTATAACATATTATATTAATACAGCTTGTTCTATTAATCTTATGCTTATGGTTCACAGATACTACCTTGATAAGTAACCTGATATATGGCCGCTAGCTACTATGTTAAGCATGCTTTGCTTTCCGCTCTGAAATGAGATCACTCTATGTTAGCCGTACTCACCAGTATGCTTAAGGTGTGTTGCATTGTACCAAGATCTGAAGTAGCAATACTTACTGAGGCTTAGGTCCCCCCCCCATTCAGCGAGGCTTCCCTTATGACTTGAGCACGGGAGCTCTATTTCCCCACTGCACACCAGACTTCGCGCCCGAGATGGCGACGAGAATGATCCCCCGAAAAGGGTCGAGTCTCTCTCGGAGCGGAAGATATATATATATATATTTGGGTACTGAACCTCCATCCTGCCAGACGACAGATGGTGCTGTGCAGCGGGCTGACCTCTTCTTCCTAACCCCAACATAACATCAGGTTTAGACGAGGTTTGAAACAGCAGCCAAGCAAGCCCATTGAACTATTTTTGGTCCACAGCTCCGGGCAGGAAACCCAAAAAAACACAAGGAAGAAAAAAAAAGAAAAGAAAAGAAAAGGAAAACCAATCCAGGATACGGGGATGAAGATCGCCTCGCCGTCAAATGCTCACAGAAAGACAGAGAGCAGAGAGCAGGGAGCAGAGGGCAGAGAGAGAGAGAGAGAGATCGCGCGCGCACACGCAAATGCACAGCATCCCCCCCTACCCCATTCACCAAGTCCCGGCAGGATAGTACGACCCATGAAACCCAAAGCCCACGGCCGAATCGCAGACGGCACGCCCAACCTCCCGCATGGTGCGCGCATCCAGACAAAGGAGGTAGCTGGTGCCCGTATCCCCATTCAACACCACGCTGAGAAGGTACCCGGCATCCTCCTCGGTGTTATTGTTGTTGTCGTCGTCGTCTTTCGCAACTTTCACATCGGGGATGAAGATGGCTTCCCCGGGGGTATGTCGTTCCTGCTCCCACAGCCAGGATTCTTGGGTGTCGAGGTCGATTTTCGCGATCGCGTCGAAGAAGGATGACTAGGTAGGTAGGGTGGGGACGGCCCCATCAGCCACGACCACCACCAATGCCCTCTAGTTGGGTGGATTTCGGCTGGGAAGAACAAAAAGAAAGTGCAGATGGGGATTCGGGATGGATGGACGGATGTGTGTATACCTTGCCTTGGTTGATGAGATTGTAGACGTATCGCGTCTTTCTGGTTCTGAACCGCGGATTGAAGGTCGGGAGGTCGCCGACACAGTGATCGTTGTCTATTGTTAGTATCGCCTCGGCGTTTGGCAAGGGGAGGATGGCGTCGGGCTCAGATGATCTCTCCTTCGCGTCGTCCTCTTTGGCGGCCCTGGTCACAGCCGGTAAACGATAGCGAACCAAGCGAGGACGCGAGAGCTCGCTGCCATAGTACCTGGTCACGTTCGGGCCGGTGGACACCATCGTATCGTAGTATGCGCGCTGGATCATCTCGTCGGTAGGATATTGAATGATATCGCAGAAGATGTCGGTGATCGTCAGGCTTCCGTCAGCATCATCATCATCATCATCATCACCATTATCATTCCCCGCACGGTTCGTTTCCTGCCACGCATTGATGGTGTGAAAGCAGAAGAATGCGGGGCTAAGATATGTACCCACAACGCCTTGGCCGTGCACTTTATCCACAACATACCATCGCGCCGGCGCCATGCGATCGAAACTGATCGCATCTGCGATGTTTCTCTCCCAAAGGATTTTCAACCCCCCGGCCGCATAGTTGGCGGGCCAGACGCACAGAATCACGTAGTCGGCGCTGAGAAAAAAAGAATGTAGATACGCCGCCTTCACCTCCGGACCGGTGATTGTGGCGAGGATCTCGGTCTGCCCCGTGGTGGCAGACGTGCGGAAGATGCGGTACGTAGCATACCTCCGCATGTTGAGGTTAAAGTTGTAGAAGTCACCCGTCGTCGGGTCAACTTCCGCATGGGCACAGGACAGTGGGCCTTTGAGGTCTGGGTGCAGATCCACCTGGCGAGTGACCCCCATTGGTTCCAGCGTCTCGGGGTTAATCTTTGTATTCAGTTTCAGTCAACTGTTCTCTCTTGTTTTTTTCCTTTTTTTTTCATCTTGTTGGATGAGCGGAAGGGAGAAGTAAGCCCTTACGTGTTTGAGAACATTGGCATCAGTCAGCGATGTCAGGCTGCGGGCTGCCGCCAACGACGCGCCGGGAACTTGTAGGCTCGCTGGCACCCCGGGGGCCTAATTGCTTGTGGACTTCAGGTTAGAGACGCAAAGCTATCACAAGAACTTGCAAAGACAGCAAATCACTTATAGGAGATGAAGAATGGGTTGGATGCTAACGTTGACATGCAGTGACCCCGGCATTAACAAGCCCTGGGTCCTTGGAATTGAAGGGCGGATGGAAGAACGACTTGACCTTGCGGAAGATGCTTTCGCATGGATCTCGCTTCTGTCCAAAGGTCATGCCTTTCAGCGTGCCGGACTTTCGTGCTTCTTCCGTCAACGCGTCGACCTGCCCTCGGGCGTTGTAGAAGACTTTGCAGGACCCGGTGGTGGATTGTGGCACCAACTCAAATCGGTGCACAAAGGAGAATCCGTCAAACCAGTGGCTGAGCTGAAAGTCGCTGTCTTTGACCTTGTATGTTCCAGGACCGATTCTGTACAAAGTCCCGGCCAGTTGGTTTGGAAGGGTTCCCATGACCGGCAACTCCACCGGGGTGCGATGCTCAGCCGTGGCTTCGAACTGCAAGCTTGAAGATCATGATCAGTCCCTCGATAAGTGACTGGAACTTTTGGAGTTTAGCCTACGCCTGCATCGTTGGGCCAATTATTGAAAGGTGCTCGGGCCCCCCCTTTCTGAGCCATATCTGTCTTGCAAAAGAAGAAAACAAAAAAGAAAAGAAAGGTGATCTCTGCGGTATGTAAGTTATGCAACAGAAGGGCTGAATAGTCAGTCAATATCGGTATATCAAGAAGCGCAATGTGGGAACGAGAATGATGTCAACATACTTGAAATTCATTTTAGTTTTCTGAAGATTCGTTTCCCCGCAGTGGCTGCTGACCAAAAACAAGCCGGTGGCAGGCTCTTCTCCCCTGCTTCTGTTTTTTTTTTATTTATTTTTTTTTGGCTGTTTTGTTCGGCCTGTTTTTTTTCCCCCAATTCCTAAGGTTGCCCATAACTGTCGCTCGGCGACTTTCTCTCTGCTCCTAGCATGTCGCAGCTTCTAGCGCCTGTCTCGCCCGACCAGGCAGCATGATATTTCAACCAGCACTTCATATTTCAGCCGATTGAATCCTGAATCTCCTAGGCTGCAGGGATTACAATTTGATCTATGGTGGTCGAACCCAAGGAAAGTTCCACGATGTTGAAGATCTCGCAGGACATCCAGGTTTTCCATGAGCTCAGTGATGTAGTAGACCAAGTGACCAGGATTCCACTCGAGCTTGGTCAACACCGGCTAACCATCGCAATCGCTGCGGTCTGTATCTTGACCGGAGGTGGATTAGTACCGGTGATAATTTATCTCGTCTTGACCAAAGCTGCGGGGCTCCAACTTTGGATAGGTATGTGACTGGCAGTTTGGTGTGCCCCGGGCCTCAAGATTCGGCTGACAGAATGGTAACAACAGTTTTCACCATTCTTGCAGCCGTCGTGGGAACAGTCAGTGCATCGATGATGCTGCGGCGAACCTGGCGGCTCCTTCGTTCGGATTCCACCTGTCGGCCCTACACTACGGCAGGCAACGACCACGATACCATGTCAGTCAGTCTCACTCTCTCTGATCTATAAACCAGTGATTGCCCTCGCTTTCTGTGGCCGGCCCACTTACTGATGAATGACTCTTGGGGCATACATCCACAGCTGGACTATTTCCAGTGGAACTTTTTCACGGGGTTCTGTTACATCGCGGCGTTGATGATCGCAGCGGTCAGGACCAGTCTGAGTCAGGATGACAACAGCAACAACAACAACACCTCAACTCGATTGATGAGCCTGTCTTTGTCGCTCCTAGTTCTCCAAGTAAGCAGCCAACTCCTTTGCGCCGCCGTAATGGTTCGAATAGAAGCCAAATATCCGTTCCGGGTCTCTTCCATGGAACGGACCGCCATGGTCCGGCCAGGGGTCTACACCATTATCGAGGACGTGGTCGCGGTCGATGGCGGACAGGGACAGCAGTACCGCCGACTGCTTGACGCACGCTATCGCTCGAGCAAGCCGATTCGTCTTCTCCTGGCGCACCTGGACTTAGCGTGGGGTGTTTCTGGTATGGCTGTGGCGGCTGCGCTCATCGCTCTCACTACCACTCTCCCTAGCGCGAAGATGGTATTTATCGTTGGTGAGTTTCTGAGTCCAACGGAAAGCGCTTCCGGCCCTTTTCTTTAAGCTCGCCAGTCACTAATGAGTGGATCTTTCTTTTTCTTTTCTCCCCAAGCAGGTTGGCTAGTCCCTTGGGGTTGGACCACAGTGCTCGTGGGGACCACGCGATGGATGTAGAGGCTTGCGCTTATGCGTGAGAAAGATGAACTATTTGCGGGGGAAAGGAGGGCAGTAGATTAAAAACCACCCTACTTCAGGGAAGTTGTCTTTGGGGGTCACATGCAAATCAATTTTTTCGACTTATATGTCACCGACGCAGGCGCGCAAGATAAGATCTTAGGGCCTTAGGACCCTTAGGACCTTTAATGGCGGCGTTTCCGGCGGGGGCAGCCAACACCTGCACCTGATTTGTAATTGTTTTGTAGGCTAGTTCTGGGAAGGGGTGTTCACCACCTGGCAGTTACCTTCTATACCCGTTTAGGAAAGTGTTTATAGGCGCCGCGCCGGCCTTGGTTAATCAAAATTGACTGGATGCAGCAGCAAACAGCAGATGGTGCAGCCAACTTAACCAATCGGCAACTCGGGTGCGGGGTGCTTTGCTACACCCATCGTAGAAAGCGTGCCTGTTCTCCAGGGCTGGGACTCGATAAGAAGTGGCGATGGGGAGGGAGTATAAGGAGAAAAAAAAAAAAAGCCTTGCCTAGAAACTCTGCTGGGCCGGGCTCCCCGCGTCCCAAGACCCCTAGCGGCGCACTAGTTCAATCATACCTAGTAATCATTGCCCGCCGCCTACCACGGTGTTTCCGAGTCAGCGCTGTTGGCATCAATCGAGTCCAGGATTGTGAGTTGCTTGGTCTTCATAGCAGGCGTTCCTTCCGTGAACAATCGTTAGTGATGACAGGTCCGTTAATAGTAGAACAATTCCACATAAGAGGCAGCACTTCCCCCTTCCCCCCCACCTCCCCACAACAATTATATTGTTCGGAGACTTAAAGCAAAACCAAGATTCGTCGACAGAGCCCTTACCCCCAATGACAGGACAAAACTACAGGGCAATCGAGGCTCAGTTTCGGGTAGCCTGCGAGGAATGCCACGCGCGCAAGATCCGCTGCGAACTGGCTCTGGCGAACAGTGGTGGCGCGGGCAGCAGTTGCAAAGCATGCGCACTCAACCAACGACGATGCCTCTTCTCGCTTCGGAGCCGGACTGGGAGACCGCGCAAGCAGCCTCTGACTTCTTTTTCCTCTTCATCCGCCTCACCACCGCAGCCACTGCCAGTGCAGACGAACCGTTCGTCCAAATCTTTGCAGGCGGGACCCACTACCCAGTCGCCCCTACGACCGATGTCGTCATCCATGCGGTCGGGGGAGCAGATGGCGGGAGACGAAGACGGGGGAGGAAATGAGGAGAATGAGGAAGGGATGGAACAGGTTCATAGCCTCGTTCAGCAGAACCTAGAGTCACTGTCGCATGGACAACAGGCGCAGCAGATGTGGACTCCGGAAGCAATTGACCCGGCGGAGTGGAATGCATCACCATCCGCATGGGCAATATTGGCAGCTAACAATCCACAGCAGTCGGCGCTGGCATTAGCCTCGTCGGGGCAACTCGAGGACTTGCTCCAACCGTCCGGTGGTCTTCGTGGTGATGGCTGGGAGACGGATACCCTCAGCCACCATTTCATGCTCCAGCAAGGATCCGGCACCGGGGGCTCTCTCTTAGAATCTGGAAGGCCGATCATGGACCCCGTGGCGGAGCCAACTTTGATGAGACTAGAAAGCCTGACCGCGCTGGATGAAGGCACAGGAGGCGCCCCACCGACGTCCAGGGGCGCCCGAGAAAAAGGTTTCTTGGATGCCCTCGAGTTATGCAGCAAGCTCCACACCACATGCCAACGATCTATGATACTGGATCTCCTCACAGAGGCCGGCCAGGATCAGGTGCGATCCGTATTGAAACTCTTTGGCGAACTCAATCAAGCGGCCTTCGCACTGCAGGAGGCCGACGATCATGCCTCCTCCTCGCTTTCTTCATCATCGGAGACAAAAGTCGTTCGAGTCGCGCTCATGGAAGCCACGCAAGTGTCCACCGGGATTATACAGTACAACTTCCAACGACATCATTATTCCACCGCTCCTTCAGATCCAGTAGTGAGTGAAGGCCAGTGGTATAGTCCCCCGGAGCAACCGGCTTTCAGCTCCGACAGACCTGGTCCGCGGAAGAACGGCGGGGTGGCCAAATCATCGCTTAAATGTCGGGACACCATGCACGAGCGGCAACTAGGGGCTCGACTGAGCTGTATTGAACTGCTGATTCGCTTGGAGTTCTCTCTGATCCGTTTCCGACATGTCATGTCTAAGATAGGATGCCTGCATGCTGGACAGCGGGCCTCGCCCCCTCAACGGGTCACTTGTGATTGCTGGCCTAATTGTGTACTCAAGATTGATGGTGCTCGCTCGCAAGTCTCTGCTTTGCTGAAACAATTTCGCAACTATTGGGATTGATGAATGTTATTGATTATATTGATGATAAAGTGACGCTAAGGATGGGCAATATGAAATGACTCTTGAGATTCTTGATGGTGGTTGACGGTTGTAAGTTAGATGACTGAGTTCTTGACTGAGTTCTCAACATTTGAGCTCGCCTGGTGAATCGCTGGGTCACGTGGCCGGATTAACTATCAGCTACTACATACGGTACCCCGGCGGTAACCGCCTACCGAACTCTACAGGTGTTCTCCCTACAGGTTCCAATTTCCCCTCGGATACGTTGGTTATTCTTTCATTATAGGGTAGTTGGGATATTTCCCATTTGGCGAGTCGCCGCAGTTGTCTCGCGTACTGTCACACTGATATGTATCTGTTTGCCCGCTTTACACTCCGGTCCGCAACCCCAGAGCATACTCTATGAATAGGACGATTGACAAGAACAATGATGAACTATAATCACAAGTGTGACTCCTCGGCCCTCTCGCCCTTCTCGTCAGATCCACTAGTCTCTTTCATCAGTCGTGCGGGAAGCAGTTTGCTCTCAGGGACGATCTTGGTCGCAAGACCAGATAAGGGAATGGAGCTGAGGATGTCGAAGACGGCGATTTCGGTCTGAAATTCCTTCGCTATCCACGCCCTAATCTCAACAGCGACCAGCGAGTTGACTGGGCAGATTTGGATCAGCATAGGGAATTTCACGTCATAAGGAAACCGAAAGAGTGGAAGAGTGGAAGCGTAGGGGGAAGAAAAGCAAAGAGAAAAAGAAAAGCAGAGCGAGACTCACCTCCATAAGTATGCAAAGGCTGGGCACCGTTGATATCTTCCATAGGGATCATCAGCATCCTGGCCATACGCGAGACAATCATATCCTCTGCAATCCCAGCGGCAGCCTCAAGGGAGTCAGCATTGCTGAAGGCCTCCAACCCCGAATGCAACGCCGCGTCATTACTACCGTTCGTCGCACCGTCCGGCTTCCACAGCGTCGAGAACTTGGCGTCGCGCGCCCAGTGCGCCCGTCGGAGGAACTCTTCCATCTCCAGCCTCGTGCTGCCCAAGCCCATTATGATTTGCGCCGGGATTTCATGATGGCGGTCGTGGTGGCCGTTTCGGCCTGGGCCTGGGTCTCTCCCACGCTGCTGCTGCCCGACAGTGTGATCTGCCGCAATTGCAAGCTTCACCAGACGAAGAACCTCATTCTCGGCCACCTGAAACGCCTTGGTATGAGCTAGGTCCGCCGCACGGTCACCGGACGACTCAGCAATATATCCAACATCGCGAACGGCACCGAGATCCAGCGCCGTGGCAGTAAGGCCCTGGCGGCGCCGGAAATGAGCCAAGGCGTCAACGAACGCGTTGCCGGCGGCGTAGTTGGCTTGCCCCGCATTACCGATGATGCCAGACACGGACGACAGCATGATGAAGAAATGAAGGTCTGGCGGAAGGAGCTCATGCAGATTCCATGAGCCTTGAATCTTGGGACGAGTACTGATGATCCAGTCTTCGTAGGGCATTTGTTCGAAGATTCCGTCCTAACAGTTGAGCCCGTGGTGTTAAGAGGAGGAAGAAGATGAGATAGATGAGAAAAAAAAGAATAAAAACACATATATGGAAGAGGAATAGAACGTACCTTCAGTATCATCGAGCACTGGATAAGGCCCTTAATCGGGGGCATCTCCGATGAACACCTTGCCAGTGTACTTCGAAGACTCTCGCGGTCGGAGATGTCACAGGCATAAGCCCGTGCATCGCAACCATGTCGCTGAAGTTGATCCATGAAACGCCTCGCCTCGCCCTTGGCGTCGCCCGATCGAGATATAAACGCAAGATGTCTTGCACCATGGGACAGCAGCATGTCTGCAATACTGCGACCGATGCCACCCAGCCCGCCAGCCAGAAGATATGTCGAGTTTGGATCCATTGCCAACGGGCCTTCGACCGGCGGCACGACCGGGACGAGATCATCTTGTCGAGCCTGGACTACGACCTTGCCCGAGACTTCCCCGGTTTGCAGGGCACGGAACGCCTGCTCTACCTGGGAGTAGCTGTAGACCGTCAGTGGGTTCAGCGCCCTGAAGCGCTGCGTCCGGAAGAGATGAAAGATCTCATCCATTGCCTCGGAACATTCCATGTGAACGGGACTACACTGGTGATACATCTCCAGATTGAACCCGATATAGCTCACCCGGCGGATAAATGGGTGCATGTCGAGGCCCACGTTAGTCAAGATATCCCGTTTCCCGATCTCCACGAAGCGCCCGTGGTCCGCGACACACAGCCATGACTGGCGGAGAAGTTCGCCCGAGGTCGAGTTGAGAACGACATCCACGCCGCGGCCAGCGGTCATTTTCATCAGGTTCCCGGCAAACGTCGAGTCTCGCGAGTAGAAAATGTGATCCTCAGCCAGGCCATATTGCTGAACCAAAAGCTTCTTCTTGCTTGGAGACCCGACCGTCGTGTAGATATCGACGCCCAGGTGCTGGCAGATCTGGATCGCGGCTTGGCCGACGCCACCGGCACCGTAATGGATTAGGACTGTTTCATTCCGGGTGATATGTGCTTTGTTGACCAGTGCAATCCAGGCAGTTAGGAAGGAAACGATGGCGGTGGTCGCGTCTTCGAGGGTCATGCGGTCTGGAACGTGCTGGATGATTGTTGATCTGATGCGGACATGGCTGTTGAAACTACCCTGTAGCATGCCCACCACTTTGTCACCGGGCTTGAACTGCTTCACATCCGGCCCGACATGTGTAATGATCCCACCAACCTCGCAGCCGAGAGTCGGAGTAGGCACTTGACCTAGGGCTGCCATGACGTCCACGAAATTCAGACCTACCGCACAATAGTCATTTAGCCTGGGAGCTTTACAGTCAGGAAAACAAGAGCAAGAACATACCTGTGCATGAAACCTGTATCTCAACATAGTCCGGCTTCAGTGGCTTCCGGAACCCCTCGTCGTCCACAAACTGGAGCGTGTTTAGCAAGCCTGGCTCGCGTAGGACCATCTTCAAGGGCCGGTTGTCTTGAAAGAGTGGCCCTTCTACCGCCTGAAGCACTTGATCCGCCCTGGAGATCTCTGAAATCAGATGCGGATCCTCGAAGAGACGAGGGATATGGAGCAAGCCATTGTTCTCGGCATATTCCCAGTCTCGAGTTTCGCGGTCGGATGATGTGGTATTGAATACGGCCCGGAAAACTTCATATACCATCTCGGCTGCGAATTCGGGCTGCAGGGCTGACTGACGCGAGAGATCAAGATTGCTGAGGCGCTTAGTCGAATCTTCCGAACGTATCGTCCGCATGAGTCCAGTCGCAACTCCAGCGAAGGGGTGTGCTACAGCGTCGGTGACCTGGCCCTGGCGGGTTATCCAAAGAACTCCCGCGCTGTCTAGAATCATATTCTTGACAGCGACAAAGGCGTCTTCGGATATGTCTTCGAGAAGTGGGGTGTCGATCTCCACGAAAGACACGACACCCTTGCCATGGATATCAGCTGGAATTGTGTCCAGGGTTACATGGCTGACGGGAAGGCCACGCTCGACCAGTCGATCCCCAAGCTTTTGGCTGGTTGAGTCGATTGCATCAGCAGAGTCGTTTCTATTCACAATGACCACCTCTGAGAAGCCATATTTACTGTTGGATTGCACAGAAGTCACCATTACCGACAGCTCTTGTAGACCTGGGTCCAGAGACTCGTGTATAATTTGTTCAATGCCCCTGAAACCAGCTTCCTCGAGCAAGATATTCCACTGACTCTCATCCTGAGGCGTGCGCCACCACCTCGGATCAGAGCCCAGAACGAACGTTGTCCGCGGCTGAGGTACCATTATACCGGCCAACAGGAGCTTGCCACCGGGCTTGAGCAGAACCTTTGCGGTCGCAAGCTGCAGCACCATGTCTGCCGTAGGCAGAAGGTCCGTGAAGAGAATGCAGTCATATGTTTTGGGCTGAAACCCCTGCCTTTCGGCGTTCTTGTCGAGGTGGAAAATCTTTGGATCGAGCGACGGCCACTCCTTGCAGAGTGTTCGGGCCTGGGAAAGCGCATCGGACTCAGGTGCCGCGAGGGTATATTTGCTGATACGCGCACAGTCAGACGTCTTATCTGCCAACCGCCGTAAGACCGATGTTGCACAGGAAGTGGATCCGTCTCCAATCTCCAGGATACGGCCGTCGGGATTCACGTCCCCAAGACGGTCCAAGTACTCCGTAGCAACACAATCGACGAATGTATGGTGTATCGCATTGCTCAAATACGGCGAAATATGCTCGGAGGTTAAGACAGGCTGAGCGTTGGGGCCGGGCTGGAGGATCTGATCTAGCCCGTTTCCCACCGTTCGTATCACTTCTGTCACCGGACAGTTCTCGAGGTTGCCCAGCTCGCTTAATGACTTGTCTAACGTTGTCCTTGCGAGGGTATGTATGCAGTCAAGATATCGTTTGAGGGTTGGACTCGTCACCTCGGCTGGAAGAGAAGACATTGCCCTCTGAGCGAATATTGCCGCTGCTTGGTTCCAATCACTCGCTTGCTTTGAGAGGGGTGAGAGATGTACAGGCAGGGAGTCCCAGAACCTACGGGCCGTGATCGCGGAAGACAAAACATCCATCCTCCAGTCCAGACGCGTGCAGATCTTGCGGGGAGCATGCCGCAGTTGAGCCGAGTTGAGCTCCCTGCATACAAACCCCTTCAGTATCACCTTGGGCTGAGTCCACGAATCATCCGAGAGGATGACGTTCCCACTCTGCTTGAGCCGGATCTTCGGACTGAGGGTGCTGTACCCGCTCATGCGCGAGCCAACCGGCGGAATCGAGGCGGAGATATACAGCGACTCAATTAGGCTGGGCGCCATAGCCGGCGAATCGTCTCTCACTGTTCCACTACAAATCATCATCTGGAAGGCTGCGTCCAGGAGCGTGGGATGTATCGGAATCGGAGACTCGACGCCCTCCGGCATTCGTGCCGCCGTGTCATGAACTTGCAGCTCGCCGTGCCCAAAGCCGTCACCCGTGTGGATTTCCGTGATGTTGCGGAATGCAGGCCCGAAGCGAAGGCCCAGTGTGGCCAAGCGATCGTAGAGCCGGCTGGCCGCTTGTATCTTTGTGGCCTTCTGGCGGATGAGCGCGTACTCGTGTTTGTAGCTGTCCCAACCCTGGAGGGCTTCTAAGGTGCTGTCTACGGCGTTGGGGACGTCGGCGTAGAGGGCTCGGACAAGTCCCGAGCAGTGCTCCGCAGCAGTGCCGTCCGGTGCAATCGACATGATACTGAAGTGCATCCAATGTGTAGCTGTAGTGCCGGTGCTCCTCGTTCCGGAGTTATGAGGTCGTAGCTGTAACACTGTCTCGACGACGGCAACAGACGATGAAAATACCATTGCCCTGGAGAAGGTGACGTCGTGGAACTCGTAGCCCTGGATCGAGCCTGCCCGTGGGCCAGCTGTTTGTTTGCATGCTTCGAGCACCATGGCCAGCATGGCAGCACCTGGAAAGACGACGAGTCCTTGGATCTGATGATCCATCAGCCACGGTACCTCGACAGGGCTGATGAAATTGGTCCAGCGAGGCGTGACGCTATTGTGGTCATCTGTGGGAAGCCCGAGCAAGTCGGTCCGAGGACAGTTTCGCGTCCGCCTCACCCGAGTGCTTCGTGCCTCATGCCAGTATCTTCTCTTATGGTTGAATGGGTACCTGGGGAGGTTGACGAGTGGTTTCCAGTGCAACGAGGGCGATCTGGTGCTAGAGTTCACTCGGGCCAGATCCAGGTTGAAGCCTAGGCTCCAAAGCTTGCCAGCAGCATCCAGAGCGGTTACTCTCGCATTTTTCTCCCTCTGTAGCAAAGAGGTATACGTGATGGCATTCGCGTTCAGGTTAGAGATATGAGAGACAATGTCGCGCAAAGGTCCCTGCAGTGCGGAATGAGGCCCGATTTCTACGAGCGCGTTCACCCCAGCCATTCCCTTCCGTCGGAACTTGGTAGGACTTTGACTCAGCAACGCGGTAACCGCCTCCGAGAATCTTACGGGACTGAGAAGGTTCTGCACCCAGTAGTCCGCTCCCAGGCCAGAAGGAGGCAATTCGGAGCCGAGAACGGACGAGAAGAATGAGGCATCGGACAATTCACTCGGCTGAATGTCTTGAATTGAGGCCAGATACTGCTCGGCGATCACTTTCATGTGTGGAGAATGATATGCCGTCTGGACTTTGAGCTTTCTGCACCATACATCGTCGCTCTGGAGCAGATTCTCAACCTGGGCCACCGCAGACGTATCTCCGGAGACGGTCACGCTCGTCGGACTGTTGATGCAGGCTACCACAGCCTCGCCTTGTGTGACTCGGTCCAGATAGCTCCGGATCCCCGCTTCGGAGATGTTGACGGCCAACATGGACCCTCGCGTGTTGGGAAGAAGAGTAGCGATTTGTTCCGAGTGCACGCCTCTGAAGTACGCGATCCTCCATGCGGCCTCTCTGCTGAGTGCTCCGGAGGCATAGGCTGCGGCTGCGCTCTATCAGCTTTGGGGCTCTCTTGCACGAAGCTACTTAGATCGTGGTACATGACGTACCTATCTCTCCACTCGAGTGACCCACGACGGCCTTGGGGCGTAGTTGCCAATACCGCAGAAGCTCTACCAGCGCGACCTGCACAACGGTACACAATACCTGCGAGAAACGCGGCTCATTAATGCGGCTTTTCTCCCCTGACCGGTTCAACTCCATAACGAGAGAAAAGTCGCTTCCAAGCGAGGCAATGTAATTGTCCGCCTGCAGGAGGCTATTTTGGAAGACCCCAATCTCCTGGAGCTCTCGTCCCATTGCAGGCCACTGCGCTCCTTGCCCGGTGAACACCCAGGCACAAGAAGTAGTCTTCAACGAGCGTGTCGCCTTGGGTGGTGTACTTTCCAGGACTTGTTGCAGATCCATGAGCGATGTGGCAACAGCGAACCCGCGGTAGTCGAAAGTAGTCCGCCGCTCGGCCAGAGTGTGGACGAGGGCGAGCTCACTGTCCAGAGTAGCTAGACTATTCTCCGACTCCTTGTGCGCTAAGTCAAAGCTATGCTTGATATGATCCGCGTATGTTTGAGAGATGCGAGTCACGCCATCTTGCTCTGGCGCAGAAAAGACATACAGCCGCGGCGCAGCGGCTGGAAAGTCGCACAGAGAGGCAACTGAAACGCCTGAGTCTGGAGTCGGAGGCAGCAAGCTCTCATGAAGGCGTGTGTTGTGAGTTGCGGTTAGGTTTCGGTCTGCTCGCCGACTACGTGATCAACATCGCGATTCTCCTGCCACATTCGTTCGAGTCACTTACCAGCAAGATAATGGAACGCATCGTCGAGAATAACGTGCGAATTCGTCCCTCCGTACCCAAACGAGTTGACACTAGCCCGACGTAGCCCAGTCGTTGGCCATGGCGTAAGCTCCGTAGGAATGTGAATATTCCATTTGTCCAACTGAAAGCGCGGATTAGGATCCTCAAAGCCATGCACAGCGGGAACCTGACCCTTCTCGAGAATAAGAACAGTTTTGATCAGGCCAGCAATTCCGGAAGCTCCCTCTAGATGTCCGATGTTGCTCTTGACAGAACCCACCAGAAGCGGAGGACACCCGGCCACTGCCTTGGAGATACCGATCGTCTCTCCTATGGCCGAGAGCTCTAGAGGATCACCGACTGGTGTCCCGGTGCCGTGGGCCTCGAAATACGCCGTTTCCGAGAAGTCGAGCCCGGCTGCTGCGTAGGTGGATCGAATGAGATTAACCTGAGCCTCTGAGCTTGGGACAGTGATCCCGGAGGTCTTCCCATCTTGGTTGATGCCCGTGCCCTAACATCATGCAACGCGAGAGGTCGCAGAAGAATCAGAATTCGTGCCCAAACGACCCTCAACCAGACCAAACATCATGGAGCAGACCTACCCGAATGACCGCCCTGATAACATCATGGTCCCTAACAGCATCCATCAAGGGCTTCAGAACTATGACACCAACCCCTTCTCCGCGTCCGTAGCCGTTCGCCCTACTATCAAAGCTGTGGCATTGCCCGTCGGGGCTCAGGAACCCCAAGGCCGACAGACCCCGCCACACCTCCGGCTGGATCATAAGATTTGTGCCTGCAACGACGGCCTATATATAGGGCAACAAAAACGCTTAGCATTCCATTCCTAGGGCCATATACTCGGGGTGTTACTTACCATCTTGCTTCCACCGCTCTGAATTTCCCGGCACGCCAGATGAAGCCCCACCAGACTCGAGGAACAAGCCGTATCGATCATGAGAGAAGGTCCTCGTAGATCATAGAACCACGACAAGCGATTGGCAGTCATTGCCCCGCCACAACCTGTCGATGCGTACGGAGACATGTATGTGCCCTCCCGTCCGGAGGTGACCTCGTAGTCTTTGGTGAAGCAACCGACCATCCTGTTTAGTCTCTGTTAGTAGCGAAATCATGAATGAACCATATTGCCTGTGCATTTACGTACACGGCCGTTTGACTCCCCGCAACGGTCTTCAAAGGCATCCCAGCTATAAAAACATCAGTTCTGTATCCATGACTCCTCGATGTAGTGGTCCTCCAAGTTTACCATTCTCAAAAGCTTCATACGTCACCTCCAACAAAATCCGATGTTGGGGATCCATTCCTTCGGCCTCAGCCGCGGTCATCGAGAAGAATGGGGCGTCGAAGAGCCCAATATCCTCCTTCAAAAAGTGACCCTCCTTCGTTGTGATCTATCCGATGGCAATGAGCAAAGTGAGCAGAGCCTTCTCTCCAGGGGGGGCGGCGGAGGAAGGAAAGGGCTCGAGGCACTTACAGCACCCTGTCGATCAGCGGAAGGGTGATAGTACGCATCTGGGTCAAAGCGTTCTGCCGGAATGCGAGTCTTGGCCGATTCGCCTTTTCGCAAGATATCCCAGAATCCGCTGGCAGACCGGGCTTCCCCTGGGAAGCGCCAACTCATGCCGACAATGGCAATCGGTGGGAGTTTGTCATCCATTCTCTAGGGGCTCCTAAGGGGGTCCTGTCTGTGACTGTCTGTGAGTTTCTCTCAAGGGCTGATTTCCGGCCGACTCAGACAAATAGGTGGATGGCTTTGATGGTTATTGATTTTGTGTATCCGGTCTGGTTGGTGCTTTATAAAAGTAGTCTCAGCAAATCAAGTACCGTCAGAGATCAGAGTGGCGGTCTTACTAACTCACGAATGTATTGGGTACATGTTCTTTCAATCTTTACCTCCTCCGTCGTCTGTGCTTCGACAAGCAGCCGGCCGGCTGCCATGTCTGTTTCTGCTCGGAGTCGAAAACAAGTCGTCGAACTTTGCCCCTCCTACATAACCCATCACCAAAACGCTTCGAGCTTTAGTCACCGAGCTTTCCCGAAGATAAGACCGAGGCGAGAAAATGGATGAAAAAGGTACCGACAGGGCAGGAACCATAGGGGCCCAAGCACAGTGATGATGGGCGCCGTCGCGGCCGACTGCGAAGCACACTCTTCATGTGGCCAACACGAGAAAGCCATTTCTCGGAAACGATGTCAAAGCAGAGACATGACATGACATGGTTTCCCATGGAAAGGGTGGTGTAAGAATGCAGTGCGATAGAGAGCGTGAAGATAGTAGATTCCAAGCTACGTGGGAGAAACTATCTTTACGGCGGCCGAGGCGGTAAGAGCTGCCCTTTCGATCACAGTGCCTAGTATACTTGGGGTGAAGACCTTGACGTCACGAAATCAAATCCGATACTCATATACTTAATTGAGACCAAGAAGGCTCACGGGATGCGAGGGGCCAAGATAAAATCATTATCCAAGTTAATGGAGAAGGTCTCGTGAGAAGGTCTTGTATCCGACATTGTGAATATATCTTCTCTTCTGTCTTTGCTCATGGCTAATCAACACGATGCTCCGCTCGCCACCCCTTTCACAAACAGTCCCTTCCTTCGTACCACATGTCATCCTATCACTCCTTGTGAGTAGACACAGCAGCAAAGTCTCTTATGCGGCATCAAGCTCCCTTCCCCCAGTTCTAGCCGCCTCGGTCCTTGCATAAACTTCTTCCAAGTCCGCAAGACGCTGCTTTATTGACTGCGGCTTTCGCTGGTACGTGCAAAGTGTAGCGACCAGACAGGCCGCAGCCACACCAGTACAGATCCGCATCTCGGTGTTGAACGTGCTCACATAGACCTGTCGAACCGCAAGCTGCTGCGCGACGGGAAGCTTGTAGATAGCTGCGGGGGTCTTATAGAACTCGTCAAGTTGTTCCGCGGTAAGTACGCCGGCGAGGGCTTGTTGAACGTTTGTGTTGAAGACGATGAATCCCGACGCGATGCCGATGCTGCCACCGAAAATGCGAAGTTGGGCGACGATTCCTTGGGCGACGGCTTTTATCGTTTTCGGGGTGGACCTGAGGTTAGCCATCATGGGAGCAGACAATTGACACATTGCGTAAACTTCTTGATGGGTGTAGGAGCATTTGGGAAGAGATAAGAAAGATTGTAACTCACCATGATCCTGAAACTCCACTTGCATGGTTGTCAGAAATGTCATTGTGGACAGACTCAAGCCGATTCCGAAGCCAAGGATCGCTTCAAGCCCCCATTGCCTTGGTACTAGGTCCACCGAATCTGTCAGAGTCGAGAGCGATGCGCTTCCAATTATCATAAAAACGCTGGCCAGATTCAGCGTCCAAAAGGCATTGTTTCGCTTCGCGGATGCGGCACCGCCCATCGCCGAGCCCACGGCTGTGCCTCCCATCAGCGGCAGCAGCAGTATCCCAGATGCCACTGCATCTTTCAAATTCACAATCTGAGCCCGCAGAGGGATATTAACAATGACCATGAGCATCACAAATCCTGTCAAGATTGTGCTCCTATTGCAAGTGGGTTAGTCCGTGCTCTACTTGATTTGAGAGCGGGCTTTTCCACTCACACGAATCCCGCAACCATGACTCGACTGGCTAGGAGCCGAAACGGTAGTTGAGGTCGAATATGCGCCAGTTTGGGCTTCGAGGAGATCAACCACTGCCAATATACGAGCGCCATCCAGGAAAGCCCAGAGATAATGAAGATCAGAATGACCGGGACGCTCTTCCACGCATAGTCTCGGATGGCAGCCTCATTCAGAATGAAGACAAACAGGACCGATCCAAGAAGAACCAGGAGAGCACCGAGATAGTCCAGGTGCCTGAACCGGACATTTCTGGCGTAGTGGAAATCGTTGGGCCACACGATAAGCAGGGCGACAAGCGGAACGAAGGCACAAGGGCCACTGAAGAGAGAAGATCAGATAGCCTGGCCATGAAGACAGCACAGCCTAGTCTCACAGTCAATGATGATAGATACTATCTTACCGCGGAAGGCTTGAGATATTTACCGACATAGGAGAGGGTATAGGCGAGGACAACCCAGGAGCAGGTTTTGAACCCATCGAACTCGTCAGAGATTGTATACAGCATGGTCGAAACAATGGTCGTATCCATCAGAGACAAGAAAAGCCCTATGGCAATGCTGGAGAGACTCGTGGTCAGTCCTTTCTATCACTCACAGCTTAGACATGGATCATCTTGTCTTACCAAAGAAGAATGACTACCAGTCTCCATGTTGCAATTGTAGGTCGTGGTATCTCAAAGGAGGAAGCCCCCTCTTCACTGACGGCAGTGGCCACTTGGGAATGCATGATAACGAGAAGGAATTGTCGTGACTTCCAGGGTGCATGTAGAGTGCTGGGACGCTCTGTTCAGAAGATATGAAGATTGACAGCTTAGATGACATTCCGAGAGAGATTATTCGGTGCCTAAAGGCGATCTCAGCCCAGCTGTGAGTGCTCGGTTTCCTCACCATCCCTCCCCCTGCTAGCGTGGTGTTGTGAGGCAACAATTGCAGCGCAAAACACCAACCGGTGAGTTTCTTCGGCCTGTTTTCGGCTACGGCTCAAACCCCCCTGCTAGTGCATCCAGTCAGACAAGAGTTCCCTGAAGTGACCGTGAACACTGCTCAGGGCTGCAGGTCCACTGTAATGTAGGCGAAATCATGGATGGTGCCTGGATACGCCTTGGTCGATCTTGATTGGGTATGTGTGCCATTGACTATACAACAGTAACATTTTTTTTAGAATGACGACGAGGGAAAGTATTTATATCTTCTTTCTACTGGAACATTGGACTACATTCACAGCACCTATCAGAGAAAAGGAAGAAGAGAACACAGTTCAGGAATACTACAAGCCGTTAAAGTCCAAAGCAACACGCCCAGCACGCACGAACCGCAATGATCGCAAGACAACTCTCTGTTCTGCTTCTCGCTACCAGTGCTCTGGCAACGCCTCTCCACAGACGCGATGCAGGCACTGTCTTGAGCGATCTCCACGCAATCGGAACCGACATCAACGCCCTCAGCACCACCCTCGATAGCTTCGACGGCACCCTCACCGGAGCTGTGACTGTTCAATACGCTGAGATCGCCCTAGAAAACGGCTTGAATCAAGCCATCACCGACGTGGTCGCCTCGAACACATATGCGACGGGGGATAGTGCCAGCGTCACAACCTCTCTGGTTGGCCTTGAACCTGAAATTGTCGGTATCCTAGGCAAATTGGTTGACCAGGTATACTTCACTCACCTACGCATCTGCTATCTCTTTTTCTCCTTTGTGTTTGTCCGAAGATGTAAAGTGGCAGCAAAACTCACCGATGGAAATAGAAGCCTGGCTTCACCTCTGCCGGAGTGGTCAGCATTGTGTTGGCAGACCTTCACTCGCTTCAGAACCTCACCAATACACTTTCCACGGAGGCTCAGGTGAAGGTCACCACGGCAGACAAGGCTACCATCGCCTCGGAAATCGCTGAGATTGATGTCGCGTACTTCAATGCGATTGCGTCCTTTTCCTAGATATGGTTTGTGGAGCATCATGAATCTGGAAGGTCGGTTGGAGCGGATGGCCGCCTTTGTACTGCAGTGATAGGTGTCTATTGGTAGCTTTATCGGGAGTGTGAGTACGCTTTGAATACTCTCTGAGTAATTACTGGGTAGCTGCATTGATAGTAGCGGAGATATGGTAGAACTCAGTATGTATTGACTCCAGTGACCTATTACTAGATCAGCAACTCAGCGTCTAGTGCGACTAGTAACTGGTTTCGATAAATCTTATCTTGGTAGAAGACAAGGGTACAGCGCGTTGAAATGTCAAAGCTGCGCAAGTAAACACACCTCTCTTGACCTGCCATCCGACCTCATCAACGCATCTGTGCCATTCGCATAGCCCATTCCACAGCTCTAAGCACCGCCTGCAAGTCATTCCCCTTGTGAGGCACTTTATGAGCGCCCTCGAATTCCACGACCCGGGTCAGACTCTTGCTGCAAAGCCTTGCCTGCAACTCCCCATGGCGTCGCAGCGGGTCCGACCGGCCGATGATATGAACGGTCGGGATGGAGATCCGCTGCGTGTTCATAAGAGGATGTTAAACCCGCGGGAACCCTTCCCCCCCCCCCCCCACCGCGCGTATTCCACTGCGTCCGCGCGGCATGGTTGTGGTCACCCCCATGTTCCGCGAGCTGGCGAACGAGCGTGACAAGCTCTCGGACCAGAGCAGCTTTTTGGCCCGGTAACAGCAGCATTGCCCGGTGGTGGTGGTGGTGGTGGTGGTGGTTCTTGAGTCTCGATGCTTTCTTGTGTGTGGCGCTCTCATCCTGCGGGTGGAAGAGACCAAGCTCAAACGACTCCCCGGTTGTCGGCGGATCATCGTCCTCCTTCTCATCGCTTTCCCCTTTGTCCTGCTTCGCCTGTTTGTAATACCGGGCATATTTGCCGATGAGGTCCTTGTTGAACATCGGATCCGGAGAGATGGACAGGACTGCACAGAAAAGCACCGCAAAGCGAAATGGTGGAGGTCGGTGGGGGTGGATTATCTCATGGTGGTCGAGAATGGACAGGGCGAGAGACGCTCCTTGACTGAAGCCAATGACTCCATCAAAAGGGCCTTCGGCTTCGATGACATCCATCACGAGGTCGTGCGCTTCTCTCACTTGTGGGGAGGACAGCCCATCATACCAGTTGTAGAAGGGACCCGGCATATCGGGGGGAATGCCTGTGTAGCATATGGGATCGTCAGCCCATCAGTAAGCCATGGACTATCAACTTTAGACGCAGTGAGTGGGAGCTGACGACACACCATTCGCGGGCCCACATGAAACCGGGCCATCGAGAAAGACGTATTCATGGGACTCGCCGATCAAGGCGCAGAGAAGGGACAATTGTCTTTCGAAGATCTCGGCAGATGCTCCCCTAAAACCAAAGACTTAGCGGATGCATATCCCGTTGTCGTGGTGGATGGGAGCTTGTGACTGTACCAAGGGTGAAGACAGATGATCTTCATGTTGACCGGTTCAGATCTGGAACATGGATGGCCTTACTCACTGAGCATGGTAACTGTAGAGATAATAACATACCCTGTATCCGTGTAGTGCCACTTGCCAAACCGGCCTGAATGCCTAGGAGTAGGGGCAGAGCGGCCGAAGCCCAATCGGCTGGTATTAAAGTGTCCGGTTACTGCGCGCTCATGTATCGTACCGCTACCCTACTTATACTAGGTAGGTACTCAATTAAGTAAATCGAAAACAAAAGCAAAACCACTTCAGTGCGTGGCCAGGCATACACCCAAAAAATCAGAGCTCAAAGAAGGGCAAAGGGCCAGGCAGGCAAAAGGATAAGAAAGAAAAGAAAAACATACAACAGAAGGGATTCGCTGGTGGTCACCCACCCAACTACTAACCTCCCGGCGTGTGGCTTGAGTACGGCTGAGCGGACGGGAAGCCCTATTTTCCACACCCTGTGGTCGTATGTGCTTGAGAAGGACTTGGGAAGGTTTATATCGCGCGTATATCATTTAGTCTAGTAAGTAAATTAGCATTTCATGCCTTGCTGTGTGGACGCTCTTTGTCCCGGGAAAGGCCAGAAAAGGTAGCCGGGTCACCGGACGGATATCCTAGGAAAGGTCCATTGGCTACTGGGTACTCAGGTATTAATTCTCGCAACGCTTCGCTTGAAAGAACAATTTCATGCTATTGCTAAACACGTAAAACAGGGTATCATTCTCGCTCACCACCACTGCATCCACACGTCACAGCATGATCATCCACACCAGACTCCCGACCGACATGGCGACCAGAATGACCGTCACGAAGGCGGCGCCGACGCGGTCGCCCGTCGTGATGGTGCTGAGGGTCTCCTCGTCATTGGTGTCGTCGGAGGTGCCGGCGGAGGGGTCACTGGTGCTATTGCCGCCGGTGGAGGCGGTGCGCGGGGTGGCGGAGGAGTTGATAAAGGGCAGTAGGGCGGCGACGAAGACATTGACGACGCTCATCTGCTCTTCCAGGCCGGACCAGCCGTCCCAGGTCGAGTTCCAGCGGACGCCGCAGGAGCTGTTGGAGTAGCCCGTGCAAGACGCGGCGGCGCCCTCGGCGGAGCCCTGCAGCTTGGGCAGGATGCGGCTGTAGGTCGAGGGCACGAGCATGGCGGTGAAGGCGAGCCAGTTGGATAGAAGGCCCTTGAAGATGATCTCGTCGCGGTTGCACACCTCGGTGGGCTCGCAGGTGATCTCCGACATGACGTTGCCGCCGTACTTGGTCGGGAAGAAGGTATCGAATGTCACGTTCAGCAGGCCGTTGACGGCCGTCTGCCACTTGCTGCGGCTGGTGCCGTTGGTGTAGTTGTACATGTACGCCGCGCCCCCAAGAAAGGCCCCGTAGTTGTAGGTCCACTGGTTGTCGCCCTGGGTGCTGCAGTCGTTGGTCGTCTCCGTGGAGTCGGCAACGTTCCAGGTCGAGTTGCTGAGTAGCGGCGTCGACGCCGACCAGTCCCAGATCTTCTCCGCCCATTGATAGTACGTCTGGTTGCTGGTGTAGCGGGCCAGCCGCGCGGAGAGCTGAAATAGACCCGCGTTCGAGATCGTGTTCTTCATTGTATACCCGCTTTCGTAGGACCACATCTGCCACCGCATCCCCCCGTCGCACGAGGTGGTATCCCACCGCGCGACTTGAGTGTTGAAAACCCCCTGCGCCAGCGCCAGCCACGAGTATCCGTCGTCCGAGTTGGGGAAGTTGAGCTCCGCCGCCGTCATTGCCGCCAGACCCCAGAACATCTGATCATCATTTCCCTAGTCATTGTCAGATTGAGCTTATTGAGCGGGGTTGTAGAGGAAGAAGAGTAAAGTTTCTTACCAGCCAGCTGCTATAGTTGGATGGCATATAATCGCAATCTCCTGCTTGCCACTGCATTCCTTGGATCACCTCCTTGTTGTAGGTGCTATCACTGGTATAGTGATAATACAGAATGAGAGCCATGAACATGGCACCGCCCTCCCACCACGTATCATCGAGCTTCCCTGGTATGTGGCCTGACTCGTTGCCATGGTAGTAGGACATTAACCCGTACGCGGCGGTGCTGGCGGCATCTTTGATGGATTCTGTATAATGACTAGTGATTAGCAATCCTGCTTGTTGGAATATTGAACAATAACAATCAAGTCAAACGAATCGAAAAAGGAACGAAACATACGCTCACTGCTAACTTCAATATCTATTGCTCGCGTGCCGTGAACAATAGCCAGAACAATCAGCAAGCACCCCGGCCCGGCGGTAAAAGACCACAGATTCTTCATGGTCGGAGAATTCCACGCGTCTATCACTTGTTGATCGAGCATGAATATCCCAATTTAGGGCATCAGACTCCAGCAGCAACGACAACCATTTCAGAAGGAAGTTCGATAGCCAGAAAAACTGGCGATCAACCTAAATAAGCCTTTTTTCCCAGTAACTCTAAACAGCTCCCAATCATCGACCGGTCTCCTGGAATCACTCCGGCACTGGCGCGTAGAAAGCATCGTCTAGTCACTAAGTAGTCGTCAGCATCCACGAGTGTATTTGCTCGGCAGTCCCCACTATTCCCCGCCTGAACGTATGTTCCCTCCTAGGCAGCAGAGATTCAGCTCCGTGAAGATAACGCTACCGATAGCGGGTTTTTCATCGACTTAGACCGAGCAGGTCTGCATTCTACTCATTATTCTTGAAGACCGAGCCTTTAGGGTGATAGACACATCGCCATTGTGGGTGATTGAAGATCGGCGATGTCATCACGGCGGCCAACATTCCAGCCCGGAATTGCGGGTCTCCACATGTGGGCTCCTCGGTAGTGCCCGACTCGAAGAGATTCATCATCGCCAATGGTGCCAAGAAGACTTATTGATTCTCCCGAATGAGGCTTGGCTGCTTAGCCCTAAGTTCTTCGAGACTGCTGATAAGATTTTAGTCACTCAGCCCGTGCTAACTCGTGCTCAACCAAATTGCTGGGAGTGGGGAGGCTCGTAAAGGACTGCACTATGTGTTGTGCTTGTTAGCGGTTCAGGATCACATACTTTTCAATTGCTGAATCAACTTCGTGAGGCCTCTCAGGTGCAGAACGAGATACCTTGAGCAGAATGTTTGGATAAGAACAGCGAGGATACACGCTGGCTTGGTTGGCGGCATCGGGCTTTGATTTCCCGCTTAGATAAGCATCTGGGTCGCCTCAAAATCAATGAAATAGGAAGTGGCAGATGTCCTAGAGCCTGAAAGGTTGAATTTCATAGTCTATCGGTGATTTCAAAGCTGCTTAGGTTGGCTAAAAGAAAGGAGAGTTTTGATTTCTTGGTGTTGTGGAGAGTTGAAGAAAATCAAGATTGATGATGGGGTGGTACGGAAGGCACAGTGTAGCTGCCTGAGGCTACCGTCTTCTGAGATCGATTCTTGTGGAATGAGAGGTGGCCGCGCCCAATCGCTCTATGCCTTGGAGGGCAAAAGGTCTCTCATTTCTATCGAGGCTTTGTTGTTAGAGTTGCTCCTACCATCCCCCAAAGCTTCGGACCTACTTACTC